TATTATAATTTTTATTATTTATATTTTCTGATATTTTATTTTTAATTATATTTGTAATTATCACCAACACAATCTAAATGTATATTTTTTAGTTATACCTATCTTGATATTTGTCGACTTATCTCTATAGTTGATTATAACTTTATCTATTCATGATGAGTTATTTTGATTTGTCTGTCTATTTTTTTTGATAATTAGATATCTAGACTAGTTTGATTGTCTCTTTGTGGGGATATATATTGAATATTATTGAGCCACAAATTGCAATTCACAAACAGGACCAAACTAGAGTTTGGAACGAATTGAGTTTGTGGATTAGAGACTTACAGTCCATATTAAGGCTTTAAACGAGCCAAATTTAGCTGGATTTTAGTTCAAGCTTGACTTATTAGAAAATTGTCCAGCTCAAACTGATCTTTAAAAATCAAGCTTGAGTTGGACTCAAGTTAACTCAATTATAAAAATGATTCAAGTTTAAGTTGGAAAATCAATCCAAATCTACTCCAACTACTAAAACTTGCAACATTGATTTGGACTCAAGTTAACTCAATTATAAAAATGATTCAAGTTTAAGTTGGAAAATCAATCCAAATCTACTCCAAATACTAAAAATTGTGACATAACAATAAAATGTAAATCTTATGAATTAAAAGTCTTAATTTTATGTTATAATCTATCTAATATAAAAAAATGTTAAAGCCTTCGTTTGTAGTTATTATAGTTTATTCATTATGTCAATTTGATCATTATAATTTTAATTGTATCAATTTTATTATTTATTTATTTTTATTGTGGCAATTTAGTCAAATTGACAACACTTGTTTAGAAATTAGACTGAGAAGGGATGGCAATTTAAAACCGGTCCGACGGGGACCTGACCCCCCGATCCAGAATGAGACGTTTTTTTCCCGAAAAAAAACTCCCCACGGGCCGGGGATGGTATTAAAAAATAAACCCCCGATCATTTTCGGGCCGGGGACGGGGATAGATTTCCCAACCCCGGCCCCGCCCCGACTACTCCCTGTATATATCCCCGAATATATATCCCTGAATATATATACCGCATATATATGTGTTTAGGTTATTTTAAGACTCATTTCACTCCTCTCTCCCACTCATACTCTCTCTTCTCTAGGCATCTCTCTCCCTCTCTCTGCTGCGAATATGCGATGCTCACTGCGATGGCGATGGCGTCGGTGTCGGCGTCGGCGTCGGCCACTCCTCCTCTCTCCCTCACGGCGTCACTCCTCGCTCACGGGGTGTGTTGTTGACCAGATCTGGGTGTGTTGTTGAATCTGAGTTTGTTGAATCTGTTATTAAATCAGATTTGTTATTAATCTGTTATTAAATCAGATCTGTTATTAAACCAGTTTGTTGAATCAGATTTGTTATTGAATTTGTTGAATCTGTTATTAAATCTTAGTGTTGTGTTGTTAAATCCGTTGTTGTTTTGTTGTGTTGTTGAATCTGTTGTTGAATTTGTTATTGAAGCTCTTTTTTTTTTTTTTTTGCCGGGGACTCTTCGGGGTCGGGGAACCCAATCCCCGTTAGGGGGCGGGGGCGGGGTGGTGACAGGTTCCCCGTCGGGGATCGGCGACGGGAAGGGCGATCCCCGGTCCCACTCTGCTCCGTTGCCATTCCTAAGATTGAGGGGTTGTTTTTTAATTTTTTACGAAAAAACGTGAAATATGAGTTGAGTTTGAAGTGATGTGATAGAGAGACTGAGGGGTTGTTTTTTGACTTTTTACGAAAAAACGTGAAATATGAGTTAAGTTTGAAGTGATGTGATAGAGAGACTGAGGGGTTATTTTTTGACTTTTTACGAAAAAACGTGAAATATGGGTTGAGTTTTAAGTGATGTGGTAGAGAGATGATGTGATTTAAATAAGATGATGTGGCTTAAATACGATAGTAATTTTTCAATTTTTTGACTTTTTTAGACTATGCCAAATTAGACCTAAATTAATAGATAAAATAGTTCATTCACTATATTCATAGAGATCGAGGCAACATCTAGTTTCAAATGGTGAATTCCACTCTAAATGTACTATTTTATCATTGATTTTTATATAATTTTTGAACATATATTATCAATTAAATTAAATTGAATTAATATAATATAAAAATTTTAAAAATAAAATTAATACAATTAGAATGCCAAATTGGCATGCGCCCGGATCCTCTAGAGTAGGATTCCCTGAAGTGATCCCTAAAGTGAGTGATCCAATGGCTCAAAATAAAACTAACCAAAATGACGTCGTTTTGGTTAGTAATTATAAAAAAAAAAACTTTAATTCAAAATTTCTGCAGATGAGATATGACGCAATACAAAGACACAGAGAGACAGAGTGAGAAAGAAAAGGGTTGAGTTTCAGATTTCCATCTATTCACTCTCATCTTCTTTTTCTTCTTCTTCATGGGTATTGGTGTTCTTGGTCTACTGGTTTCTTCAATGGGTTTTAGTTTTTTGGTGGAAAATGAAGATCTAATAAATCCATGGTTCTTGATTTGGTGGGCTAGCAAGTCTGATCTTGGAATACACATTCATTTTCCTTGGAATACAACTATTCTATTTATTTATTTATTTTGTTCTTTCTTGAATCTATAGTTGGGTTGTTTATTGTTTTGATTGGTTGAAATGTTCTTTGGATTTCTCTAGATTTCTTGAATCTATAGTTGAGTTGTTTATTGTTTATTATTCTCAGGAAGTTCATGGCCATGGATAACACCAAATCCATTTTCATTTGGGTTTTTCTACAAATCCACCCATTTTCTTCATTGTCTCTCAAACCCATCAAAACTTTTGCAAAATATTTGTCCTTGAAGCTTCTTGAAGAATAGAGATTAAAGTGAGTTTTTTTGAAGAATAGAGATCCAAAAACTAGAGGACATATCTCTGCAAAAAAAAAAAAAATCAATCTCTGCAAAATCTTCTATTTCCTCAACTCTCTCTCCTCCTCCCTCTTGATTTGCAAATTGTAAAAAAAATTTTTTTTTTTGGAGGGTTGGCCACAAAAATGACATCGTTTTGGAGAGGGATCATCTCAGCCATTAAGGCCTCGTTTGGGGACTTACTTTTTTAGTCAAAAAATCAAAAAGTTACCTTTTTAGCCAAAAAGCCAACAATTCATACCAAAAAGTCAAAGATTCTTTTTTCTCTCTACTTTTTCACATATTTTCGTAATTAGCCAAAAAATCATCCAAACACATATAAGTTTTTTTTACTTACTTTTTTAGTCAAATAGTCAAAAAGTTACTAAATTAACCTATTCCCAAACGAGACCTAATTCTATTAATAGAACACGTGTTGGGCCATAAAACATCACTCTAAAAGATCACTTCAGGAAATAACTCTAGGGGATCCGGACGCAATTGGGATGATTAATTTTGTCTGAATTTGCAGCTCAACCACTGGTTATAATTAAAAGTTAAAAAAAAAAACTTCACACCACTAGTAAAGGACTACTATTCTAGTTTGACCATTACACGTGTGTGTACTTTAGAAAGGTACGTTCGCTTCATCCTTCTCCGTCCGCCTTTCATTTTTTATGATATTTCTAAGTACATTTTTCAAAATTTATCTAAAATACAATTTTGTTCCTTAAAATTTTAGAAATTATAAATATTTTTTTATTAATTTTTTTATTTAATAAATAACATAAAAATAAAATTTATAACTACTCTCATTTACAATTGTGAGAGTCCAAAAGATACTAATTTATTGGGATGACTCAAACAAATTTAATAATCAACAATAATAGAGACCACTAATTTTGGAGTTCTAAAAAGACCACTAATGACATAACACTCAATAAAAAAAGAGAAAAAATACAACACCAATGCCAAAACATTAAATCATTCCTGGTGAGGTCCACTGTTACATCATTAATGATAACACTAATTAATGCTCTCACTCATTTCCCTTTAATAATAAACCTAGAACAAACAAAGAAACCCATCATGTAAATATCACACCCGCATATATAAAAGGAGGACCCCAAGGAATAAAGTTATGTCTGATCTTTGCAACACAACACGTACAACACCTTGATCTTTTACATCTTCCTTATCTGATTCAAGTTCCTAACTTTGTCATTCCGTTTGAGTGACGTCGACTATGTCCATTTTTGCAGATCAATAGGGGTCAAGTTGATCTCTTTGTTGAATCTTTTTAACAATCAATGTGAGAGGCTTTTATGGATCTCACAGCAACAATAAAAGTACTTAAAGAATTAATTAAAATATATTTATGACATAATTAAAAATTATTCACTGTGTTTAGTTTGAGTTTTCTGAATTAAGTTTTTTAAAATTGAATTTTTTGATTTTCGTATTTTTTTGTTTTTAGTGAATAGTTTTAAAATTTTAAACATTTTTTTACTTTTTTAGATGCACCTTACTTAGATGTGTCTAAAAAGTAAAAAAATTGTGAAAAAATATTTTAAAAAATTAAGAAATACATAAAAATATAAAAAATGTACTAAATTCTTGTATTTTTGGTATTTAATAAATTTTTAAAAGATTTTTTTAATAATTTTTTTCCTTTTAGGTGTATTTATGTTAGATGTGTCTAAAAAGTAAAAAAATTGCATAAAATATTTAAAAAATTCAGTAAAAACAAAAAAATACGAAAAATAAGAGTGTAGAATTTTTTAATATTTAAAAAATTCAGTAAAAACAAAAAAATACGAAAAATAAGAGTGTAGAATTTTTTAAAAACTGTTTTTAAAAAATGAGAACCAAGTAAAGTGAATAATTATTTTGATAATTTGTTAATAGAAATAATCATTTATTATACAATTAAAAATTTTAAAAAGTAAAAATATTTTTTAAATTATAAAAAACAATTTGTATTTTACAGGGTGTTTGTAATTTTTTTTTATAATTATTTTATTTTTAACGACTCCGGCCATATCGCAAGACGGACTCTTCGGAGTCGGCGTTCCCGATACACCCCCACCCCACCCATACACTCACCTGATTATCTTATTCAATTTTTTTTCCGTTAAATAATAAGATATATTCATCAGACTAAACGCCCAAAACCAACCTATACTATACATAGATATAATATATATATATATATATATGTATTTCACTCAAATTATATCCTAATGTTTTCTCAAATATAAAAAAATATTCCCCGATTCCTCCGGCGTAGCACCACCCCTTCTCTCCCTCTCTCATCATCATGATATGATATGATATGATTATTTTTTTATTTTAATTTTTTTTTTGGTATGACCCAATCCAACAATTAAAATCCAAATAAAAATCAAATGCATCCATTTTGCTGCATCTCCACCGTATCGGAGCGGAACACCGCCCCTCCGCATTCGCCGTTGGCCGAGCTCCTCATCATGACGCCGCCGCAACCACAACCTCAACCTCCTATTCCTCCGCCGTCCCGCTCTCATTCCGCCACCCATCGCCACCACACCAACAACCTCCACTGTAACGGCAATAGCGACGATCACGGCCGCCTAGCTCTCCGATCGCTCTCGGCGTCCTTGGAATCGCTTTCTCGATTTCCGTCTCTTCGTGAGGTGAGGATCAACGACATCGTCGGCAATGGAATCTCCGGCGTTCTTTATAAGTGGGTCAACTATGGCAAGGGTTGGCGACCGAGGTGGTTTGTTCTTCAAGACGGTGTTCTTTCGTATTATAAGATCCACGGTCCTGATAAGATCTTGATTAATCAGGAAACAGAGAAAGGTTCCAAGATCATCGGAGATGAGTCGTTCCGCCGGATCAGCCGATCCAGAAGTAGCCACTCGCCGACTCTCCGACACCGCAAACCGTTCGGTGAAATCCATCTCAAGGTCATCATCCTTTCCTCGCATTTTTACCAATTGTGTTTCTCAACAACATTGAATCTACATTTCAATGAAAATTGATATGGAACACTCCAATCCTTAGTGTTTTGAAAATTTAATCAAATTCGATTGGAGCTCACTTTTAGCTCTTTACTCATCAAATTTCAATTTAATGAAAGAATTGGCGATGGATTGGAGATGCTCTAGGATGATGAATTGTATTGCTGTTGAATTGCATGTAGGTTTCATCCATCCGAGAGAGTCGATCGGATGACAAGAGGTTTTCGATATATACGGGAACAAAGAGATTGCACTTGAGGGCGGATACCAGGGAGGATCGGATGGCATGGATGGAGGCATTGCAGGCAGTGAAGGACTTGTTCCCTCGGATGTCGAACAGCGAGCTCATGGCTCAGGTGGACAATGTGGTTGTTTCCACAGACAAGTTGAGACAGAGGTTGTTGGAGGAGGGCGTGAAGGAAACTGCAATCCAGGACAGTGAGCAGATCATGAAGAGCGAGTTATCCGAATTGCATAACCATCTTTTGCTTCTTAAGCATAAACAGCTTTTGCTAATTGACACAATGAGGCAGTTGGAGGTATGCACAATACAACTGAGCTGATAATTAGCAAATTTTAGCTTGTGCAGAATTGAAATAGTGGAGGGCGTAAATTGTACTCTTTTAGAGTATTTGTGTACGATGTTGGAAGATGTGTGTAGCTTCAGACAGATAGCATTCAAACATGCCTTGCTTTTCTGCCATGTTGTGCTTTTCTGTTGCTTGACAATAACATGCCACCACTCTTAACAATTGAACTAAAGGTTGGAATTCTGCCTTAAATAAACCAAATCTTAGAAATTGAAACATATGTTGATACTGAATTTGTGTAGTGACCCATTGGTTTGCATTTTTTAGTCTTTCGTTTATTCAACTTGTGTAAAATTATGCGTCCATTGTAGGATTCTGAAAGACGTTGTATAAGTTTTTTTTGTTTAGGTACTTTCTTACGCTTTATGTGCTTCTTGCCACGAGTTGAGTGCATCTTCATATCCTTCCATGTAGATAGGGTTGCAAATGAACCAAGTTGTTCATGAATAGCTTGAGCTAGGCTTGTTTGCCAAATGAATGAGTTCAAGCCAAATTTTTAGACTCACTTCGTAATCGAACTGAGCTTAAGCAGAGCCAAATTCTGATCAAATAGGCTCGTTAAAACAAAGATATAAAAAATATTTAGTTTTAATAATATATCAAATATATTTCCATTAATTTATTTTATTTCTCTGTTTATGTTTGATGTTTGTGCAAATTTATGTATTTGATTGACAAAATTTATTTATAATATGAGTTTTTTTTTCCCCCCTTCATATTTCGCTCATAATCTTTAATTTTTCTCTTAATGTGCATATTAATTCAAGTTTGGTTTTTATTTCTAAGCTCGAGCTCTACTCCTTTTATGTAATCGAGTGGATTTTAGCCAAGCATAAGTTTCTCAAATACTTGATGAGCCAAGCTCGAGGTTGCACTTGATTCTTTAAATTTGACTTGAGCTTGTCTCGAGCTCATGCTCGACTAATTTTCAGCAAGCCAGGCTCATACATCCCAAAACTCGGCTTAGCTTGACTTGTGAGCAGATGTACACGTTGATAGCAGTTTAGGGACAATATTATTGAAAGAGTAGCGAAATGAATGACAGTGTGGAAAAGACTACCTTTCGAAGGAAAGGGAAACTCGTATCAAGAGTCCTTTAGCTATTTTGCCTGTTATTTTGCTCTTTATTATTCTGTTTTCGGTGTTGAAGAGGCTGTAGAAGCTTCAAATAATTTTTTGTGAGAAGGTCTTCAAGACGAGTTCAAGAACCATGTAGTTGATTGGGACAATGTGTGTAGTCCAGTTCGGAGCAAGGTTTTAAAAACCGGACCGGTGAGCGAACCGGAAAAATGATCGGGTGGACGGGACACCGGTTCAACCGGTGGGTTGAACCGGATCGAACCGTGACGTCATAATTATGTCATAAATAATTTTTTTTAAAAATATAAATTAATAATTTAAATATTAAATTTTCAATTTTTTTTAAAAAAAATCTTAAATATTTTTAGTGATGTTTTTCTATAATTTAAAAAAAAAAAATTCCTGAATATAAGCCATAACACTTCACATACTAACAACAAATAAAATTAAAGATGAAAATTTAGCCATTAAAAACAACAATCATAGTAAGAAACATTATGAAAGTATCCAACTAAAGCAATCCATAAAACATAAGTTACAAAAAAGACAAAACTAAGTTCAAAGTTCACAGACAACACAACATAACATCACAAGCAATCTTTGAATTTTGCCTAAATCTCCTAGGGACGATAATTTAGCCAATCATCATCATCATTCTCATTCGCATTTGCACTAGAGCTCGGATTGTTTGATCTATTATCAATGTTCACGTCACCAAAAGATCCCAAGTCGATATCATCTCCAAGAAGTTCTACCTCCATATCATCCTCAACATCATCTACAATAGTTAAAATAAAATCATTAAGCTATCATTTTGATAATGATAGATAAAAAAGATTGTTGCATAATGATGAAACATTATTTTTTAACCATCTCGTAGACCATGACATTACCTCTTATATCGTGGAGGCTCATCTTCTTCACAAAGCATTTTTTCGAGCTCATCATAATCAAGCAATGGAGGCTCCTCTTGTTCTAGTCTTTCTTCTTCAATAATCCAAAACTCGGTTTTGTCAATGCTTTCAACGTCAATGGGATCATAATTCCTTGTTTTGTAATACTTCCTATATTGATTCAATTATAAGACTAAATAAACGAATAAAATAAAGAATCCATTAGTTACTATATGAGAAAGATTAATTTACCTATTCTTCAATCGCAAGTTGTAATGAACATACACAAGATCATTAAGCCTATGATGTTCTAGTCTATTCCTCTTCTTTGTATGTATGCGCTCAAAGACGCTCCAATTCCTTTCACACCCAGAAGAGCTGCTAGTTTGACTAAGAATTCGAATGGCTAACTTTTGCAAATTTGGAGCACTGTGTCCAAACATCTTCCACCATTCATCTTATTATCAAGAAAGAAAGAAAGATATTATAAAAAATAAAAAAGAAACAAGAAACAAGAAATAGATAAATGAGATAAAATATTCCAATCAAAAGCAAATAATAATGATAATTACTATTAAAAAAAAGAGCGATTACCAGGTTGTGTTTTCTTAGATGTAGTAATGGCAAGCTCTCTTCCAAAACTATCTTGTCGATCTCGAAACAATCTAAGTTCATTCATGAGCTTCGTTTTACTTGATGTGGCTTTAGTTTCAATCACATCAAGTACACTATTCATAACCTCTGGCTTTTTGCAAAATGAAGCTTGATCATATTGAAAAGCTGGGTTCAACCAATAAGCTGCCGCATGTATATTCTTCCGCAATTGATTATCCCAACGAGTTTTAATGATTGTTGTGTAAGGCCTATACAACCTCTTATTTCTCTATATCAATGGCATCCTTTCCTTTCTTCTCTTTGGCAAACCTTGAACTTGTAAACTCCTTACTTGTCACCAAAGCTTGCAAATCATGCATATGCTCATAAATACTATGCAATGCAAGGAAAGTAGTGGCAAAGCGTGTTGCTCCTGGGCGCACAATTTCAGTCCAACTCTTCTTCTTTCTCAACCGAGCTAACAACCATGAACGGTTGTATATGTACCTTGTCACCTTTGATGCCTTAATAGCAAGCTCATGCACATGATTCATCTTGGAAATTTCACTTAAGATTAAGTTCAAGCAATGAGCTGCACATGGAGACCAATTTATAGATTTGTAAGTAGCATTTACAAGTCCTCCAGCAGCTTTATAATTTGCTCCATTATCTGTCACCATATGAACAACATTCGACACTCCTACCCACTCAATAACCTCTAGAAACAATTTAGAAAGAAGAGTAGCATCTTTGACAGCATCAGAGGCATCAATTGATTTCACAAAAGCAATTCCCATAGGGCTATAGACAAGAAAATTTATTAGATTTCTTTGTCTAACATCAGTCCAACCATCACCCATAATAGTACATCCACACGTAGCCCACGAACTCTTCAAAGTGTCAATATACAATTGAAGTTCTTTTTTTGAGTCTCTCAATAAAGGAACTCGAAGTTGATGGTACGTAGGGACCTTATATCCTGGACCAATGGCAATTGCGGCATCAAACATGGGCTGAAAATAAATGGAGTTCACAGCATTGATTGGAATACAAGTATCATAAAAGAATTTGCCAACAATCATATGTGCTCTATGTATGGCTTCTTTAGTTTGGAGGGCACTTTTGATAGTTGGTTGAGAACCAGGAGTGGTCCTTGGTGCAAAATAATCACCGATTTTTGTTGATTCATGTCTCTTCCCCTTCCCTTCTGTGTCATTGGTGGTCTACTCTTATTCCCACTTCCAGCTCCTTCATTGATTGAAATGCCCTTATTGTTCTGAGGAATTGTTCTCACAACCTCATCATCAACATTGACATAAACATCATCACCCTCAAATTGAAAGCCACCTGGACCATAAGGATTAATTGATCATAATTTTCTTCACTTTGTTTCTTCTTTTCATCAAATGCTTTCAAAGATTCATGCATTTGATATTGAATATCTGGGGGAACTTTTTTACATGGCCCAACCTCACTTGACTTCTTTGCAAGATGTTGCTTCATTCTATTAATCCCTCCACCTTTAATAGTTTTCCCACAATACATACATGAGTAAGTCTTCTTCCCATTGGCATCTCGTCCCTCAATAACATGTGCCCATGCAATATCATATTTTCCCCTTGTGGCTTGAGTGGAATTAGCTGTTGAATTCTGGCCCGATGACATCTCTCACAACTACAACTTAGAATAAGAACAAATGAAAAAAAGAAAAGAGAAAAAAGAAAAAAAGTACTCCTATTCAAATTAATATTCCAAAAAGTAGGATCATAATTATTCAAATTAATAAAAATGGTGTAAAATCACAATTTAACTTCATGGGTATCCAAATTATCACCACTGAATTCATGGGTATCCAAATTATCATCACTGAATTCACAAATCAAGAAGCAACCCAAAATAACATACCCACCAAATCACAATTTAACTTCATAAATATTTGAAAATTAAGGTCATTTAATATTAAATTGACTGGTAATATGAATATTGACCCGTTTCACAATCTGATGCAACAGGCATTAAAGTAAAATCAAAAACTCAATCAAAGTGAAAGCATGAGAGAGATCTTCAGATATTTAGGCAGGAAAAATAAGAAATTGATAGAAAATATCACAATAATATCAACCTGTAAAACAATGAGTTGCCACAAAAAATAAATAAATAAATAAAATAAAATGGTGTAAAATGTTTGAGATAAAGAGATAAATTAAAAGGGATGAGAATACATACCTTTTGGGTGAAGATAATGAGATGGGTTTCTTCACAAATGCACTCTCTGCTTCTCTATACCCCTCTCTCTCACTTTAATCTTCACTCTCAACTGAGAAGTAGTCGTTTGACATTGGGAAATTAGTGCACCATTTCAATTGAAAATATGTTTTCTATATATCTATGATTTATCTATAAAGGGGGGAAAAAAATTCTGAAGGAAAAAATAGAAAATAGAAGAATAAAAAATCTGTATATATTTTTCAATCTGAATTTTTTTTGTGAGAATCTCTATACATTTTTCATTTTGTAGAAAAAAAATAGAGGAAAAGGAAAATGGAAAACGGAGAAGTGGAGTGGAGAACAAAGAAAGAGATTCAAAGATTCATCAAAATAATACCTGGACTGGAGGCTGCTGGCGGCTGTGATTCTTGGCAGCAATGGTGGTGAATCAGTGTGAAGTTGAGAACCTTGCTTGATTGATTCGTTAATGGTGAAAAAAAAGAGAGAGATAGATCGGATAACAGAGGGAAGGGAGGAAGAGACCTGTGTGAGTGTGAAGAAGCCCTAGATCGGATGCTCTACAGCCGCTGAAGATAAGCAAAAAAAAATAGAAGCAGATCTAATTTTTTTTTATATATATATATATAATCAAACCGCCCCGGTTCAACTAACCCGGAACCGGTTCGAACGGTTCACCAGTTGAACCACCGGTTTCACCGGTTCTGTGAAAATACACCGGTTTTTTCATTTGACTGGTTTTAGGGGGTCAACCGGACCGGAAACTCACCCGGTCACCGGTTCAACCGGTTGAACCGGCCGGTCCGGTCCGGGTTTCAAAACCTTGGTTCGGAGGACGTATGGGTGTTTGTCATGTTAGACTCTTTAATCAAACACTATTAAGTAAATGGTTGCGGAGTTATGCCATTGAGGAGGAGTGTCTTTGGTGGAGTTTTGATTCAATGCATGTATGATTCAGAAGTAGGTGTATGGACTACCAAGGAGGTAAGAGTATGGGCTTGGTTATGGAAAGGCATTAGAAATGGCTCTTTAGATTCAAACTATCATGTGAAATTTTCTGTTGATTATAGTAGGTGATTTAAATTCTCATTATATGTGTGGTGTTTAGATGTTCCACTTTCTGCTGCTTTCTTAGACTCAATAGTAGTAGATAAAAATGCTTGGCTCTCAAATTATATTACAGTCTCAAGCATAGTGTGGGATCCTTGTTTTATTTGAGAAGTACAGGATTAGGAGTGGGAGACAAAGGGGAGTTCTTGCGGCTTTGCTACAAGGAGACAGGCTCTGGGATGAGGGTGATATGATGGTTTGTGAAGCTAAAGGCAGGAGATTCTCTGTTAAATCCTTTATCACTTGGAAAAGTGATCAGATGGCTGGGGTGCCCTTTTGGATTATACCCTTATATGCTATCATAAGTGTGGACAATTTGGGAAATATGGGGGAAAGATGTTTCAATTGAAGCTGTATGCGCAAGAAGTGTAGGAGTCGGTGAATCACCTTTTGTTGAATTGTCATGTGGCTGGAGAGCTGTGGAGCGTTCTTTTCTTGTTCTTTATTTATTTTTTTTATATATGTTTTTGGAATTTGTTAGGTTATGTTGGACTCTGTAATTTACCTTTATGAGAGTTGGGCAGGATGCTGCCAATTGAAAAGGATCAAGAAGGCTTCGAAGGTGGCTCCTTTATGCTTGATGTTGTGGTTTTGGATGGAGTGAAACTGACACACTTTTGAGATGTTGATTAGGGGTTCATAAGCTTAAATTGTCCCTTCTCCTTTTTTTTTTTGGTGGATTATATTGGAGATCTTTCTTTCATAGATGTTGTACAGGTAATATTTTGTACACATGTACACAGGTTCCGTCGGTTTTTGATGCATTTTAATATAATTAGTTATGGTTTTGTGGTTGAAAGAGGGGATGTTTTGTGGTATGAAGGGTAATATGAGAATAGTAACTTGGGTTTTGCAGAGAAAAAGAAGAGCTTCCCTTGAAAGAGCTAGGAAAGTTTAAATTAAACAAACATAATCTTTAATTCTCATTACTCAAAACTCCGTTGAATAAAATGACTAGATTATTGGACTTCATTCAATCGTACAAGGGCTATGAGAAATTAAGGAACTTGAACTATTAGATTATTCTGAACCTAATAAAAAACACATGTAATGACCCTAAGATTTGTAGAACCATATTATTGGCCATGTCTTATAAATGTTGAAATTAACTAAATGACCCTGACTAATAGAACCTATATATATGTATGTATGTATGTATATGTTTATGTCTGTCCCACAACACACTAACTTAAAATACGATTCAAATTAACGCCGAACATAATTACAAATGCCCATGATGATTGGAAATTCCAAATTTTCTCGTCACGTGCTCTGTATTAATTAGAAAAAGTAATTGTATAGTTTATAGTCACAGTTTTACCCCCACTTGCAAAAATGACATAGCAGTGGCATGGGACTGCCATTAATATGTATGGTGTCATCACCCTTCAAAAGTCAGCCTCAAACCCTTTTGGTGGCGGTTCTGGATTGTGCATCATTGTTCTTGGCTCTACCATATGAACTTTCTCTCCCTGTTATGTATATAACTTGGTGAAGAAAAAGGATTAATCATTGTAAAAATTTTTTTGCTATGGTTTATAATCACAGATATGGGTTTTGATTGTTGATACAAACCTATGGTGTTTGATATGGATATCTGTTTCCATACATAGATGTTTACCTTAGTTTTTCATTAACAGTGGTTTAAGTTTCTTTTTCTTCTGGTAAGTTGTCTTTGTTTGTGGTCAAACTTGTAGTTACACATCAGCCACTTCAAGTGGCGTTGCTTCGAAAGTACTGAAAATGGTAGGCCAAATTAGGAATGGAATGATTTTAAGGCAAAAGTGGATTAATGGATTAATGGCCCTCAACAATAGTCAAATTTAGAGACATGAACTTAGAGAAAGAGGTAGTTAAAAGCGATGCACTTCTGAAATTTGACGTGGATTTCTGTGGCAAATTTCAATTGCAAAAATGCGTTTAATTTTACTTCTAACAGTTTTAGTCTGCCTGTTTTATCACCAGAAAGTGATAATATGCTTTCCTTGTGCAGTGTTTGCACAGTGAATTTCAAGAACTGCACCGAACAGTTTTGAGCATACAACTGCCTAAACAATTCTTAATGTTGTGGATTGCCTTGCGCCTTTAAAATCTATGTTTTTTAAGTTTCTCATACTATAGTATTTCTGTGAATATCTTGCTTAGGCATCAGAAATTAAAGTTATACCTTATATTTTGAATTATTGTTTGGCATTGACTGCACGATGTTGACATATGCATGCACATGTATGTTGTTACAAGGCATGATATCTAATGAGTGAAATTTGCAAGTAAAATATTTTTTCTTGAGCTAAAACAGTTTTTTTGGTGCTGCTTCTGTAGACAGAAAAGGTTGATTTAGAGAACACAGTTGTTGATGAAAGCCAAAGACAGGCAAAGGATCAAGAGGCTTCCTCTAGACTACAATACAGTGGTATGCTGTTATTAAAAGTCCCTATCCATCGCAAAAAGTGCCTTTTTTCCCAGCTATTATTACTATTGACTATGCTCGTGTATTTTGTTAGGAAAATTGTATTACAAAGGCACTAAAAGGGGAGCTTCTAAATGCACCACAAAAATTTCGATACACCCACAAGAGAAGGGGACATCGGGTAGGGGGATGCAGTTGGGACATAAGGGGGTGGGCAAAGAGGGAAGAGGAAGAGAGGGTGGGACATTAAGGAAGGAGGGGGTTGAGTTGCATAGGATGGGTATGTGAGACACATTCCAATAGTGCATACATTAGTTGAAGGAGGTAGGATAAGAATTAGGACATTGGATTTGTTTAACAATGTGTTGTTAGGTAAGCGCTAACAAAGATTTAAGGAGAAGTCTGAACTGGACTTTTCAATTTGGTATTAGAGCTTAGTTGGGCCTGTGATTGGTGTGCCGTTTGTTCGGCTACTGTATATTGTGGTCCAGGAGGCTGTGTTGAAATGTGTCCCACATCACCTCAAGTTGCTCCATTTGTACTGGTTATAAGTCTCCAGTTTCCCTCTCCTTAATACTTGAGTTTTAAGGAGAAGTGTGGACTGAGCTTTTCAATTTGCACCTGCTTGTAGTCAACTAGATCAATACTTAAATCCATCCCCCAATGCAAACCATGAGAAGTTTCTCACCATCTTCTCAAGCCTCCTAACCATAGATATAGGCATAGTAAAAGGAGATATAAAACAAGTTGACTAGTTGGACTGGGTGCTTTTGATAAGAGTTCCTTGTCCTCTCTTTGACAAAAATGGTATCTTCTAGTTATCCAGTCTTTACTCAAATCTATCTACAACTGCAACCCACACCATCTTAGCCGTAAAGGGAGACCCCATTGGCAAGTCCAAGTAACTACCACGCAAAAGCCCCAATCCTGCATCCAAAATAACTGCAAAACCGTCAATGTGCTTTAAAGGGAGACCCCATATGAAGTCTAAGTAGCAGGTAAACCCCTTAATCTTGCATCCCAAAATAACAATTAGACCATTCAATATTTTTAACTTCATCCATTGGAATTAGCTAACTCTTAACTGAGTTAATGCGAAGTCCAAACATTTCCTTAAAGCAGAGAAACATACATCTCAAGTATCTCAATTCTTGTGTCATCGGCAAAATAAGATACAACTATGGCTTTTCTACCCCTAATACCCATCCCAAAGCCTTGCAACATCCTTCCCTCCTTAATCCTACAAGCATAGGCTAAAAACATACACGACACTATGATAGTGATGAAAAAAAGAGGGGATAGTGGGTCTCCACGCCTCTATTAGTGAGCATGATATGTATTGTTGAGCGACTTTCTTAACAACTCTATTTTTTTTGGACTATTGGTGATCTAACTTGATATTAGAGCTCAGGCTAAAAGAGATCTTGGGTTCAGTCTCTCTATCTGCACCCTTTTTCTAACAACTTGAGCTTTTGGGACTAGTGGTATTCTCCTCAAACTCTTAGTAGTGTGAAAAAGCCCTTTAGGACCTCTAATCACAGCGATGGAAAGTCTCAATGTGGAAAATTAAAACCTATCCATTTTCTCCATCTCTCCTCAAGTATGAAGAACCCTCTCTCTCTCTCTCTCTCTCATGCAATTGCTCTAGGGTTTTGATCGGGGCCCTTTTGGGCTTCAATCCCCATTTGTGCTTTCTCTTCCATTTACTTTCTTCTCTTAGAGTGTCATTCTTTTTCCCAAAGGCAAGAAGAGAGGAAACCTTTTCTTAGCTTTCTAACGTCTACTGCTGTGAGTCTCCCTGCTGCTGTTTTTCTGGGGGAAACATTGTTCTAGATTCACAAGAGAATAAGGCATCTGAGAAGCACGGACACGGACACGGCACAGACACGCCAACACATAAATTTTCTAAAAATGTAGGACTTGACACGTGGGGACACGTGCAAATTTATAATTTTATATATTAATTATATGTCAGAGATAAGGATAAATAATTATTATGTATCATATATATATATATATGAATATTTAAGCAAAAAATGATAATTTTTTAAGTCTAAAGGAGAAGAATATGTATAAAATTACATTTTTCGTTTTATCTTTGGATTTCAAGTTATTTTATTCAAACTTGTAATGTGTTTCATATATATCTTAAGTATTGGACACAGTAACACTTCATCTTCTTAGAGAAATGTCCATGCTTCTTAGGAAGACATTATACCAAGATGGATTGCTCTTGCTACTAAAATGATTTCTTTAAGTACTCCTTAGTCAGGTGGTAATAAGTTTATGGTATAGCAGAAAGCATCATCTTAAGGTAGTTTCGCAATTGATTGTGAGCTACTTGATCTATGCTGACTTAACTTCCTTGTGAGGGGTTTGAATCCTGCTAGTGTATATGTTCTTTTGTGACATGCATCCTTTTTTTTGTTTTTGAAAAGTTTTTCTGGTTTTTAGCATCCATTCTTTTGGTCTTACATTGTGACGGCATAATGTGGATGAACAGCACATATCACTGAAATTTTGAGGGTCCATTTTCACTCTTTCAGAAAATTAACTTTTCCCTTTTCTTATATGTATTCTAGCTTATTTTTATGTTAACCACTTTCTTTCTATCTTTTATATTTTTATTTGATTTACTGATTGCTTTGATATCTGTTGTTCCCACAGTTCTTGCCTTATATTAGAAGGGTTTGAATGAAATATCTTGCTTAATCCGTACTCGTGGGTCAATACATATAGTGTCCATTAAAATTTCCATGGAAAATTGAACACCATATGGATGAAGGAATGAAAATTTGGGAAAACTTGCTTCTGTTTTATGTTGTTTTTTTCTCCACTGGTTCTAATTTTTCATGATTTCATTGGGATATATTTCAGAGGGAAGCCGAAGTGATTCCGATGATGACAATGATAGACATTATGATGCTGTGGGGGAAGAAACAGATGACGAGGATAATGCGTTTTTTGATACTCAGGATTTTCTCTCATCAAGTTCTATTAAAAGCAATGGATCTGATATGCGGTTATCATCGTTTGATTCTGAGGATGAAGCATCTCTTGACTCTGATGATGGTATTGATCCTTGCATTAGATCTGTTGGAACTAACTATCCTCATGTTAGGCGGCGTAAGAAATTGCCTGATCCAATTGAAAAGGAGACTGGAGTTAGTCTCTGGTCAATGATCAAAGATAACATTGGGAAGGATCTCAACAAAGTTTGTCTTCCAGTATATTTTAATGAGCCCCTATCATCTTTACAGAAATGTTATGAAGATCTTGAATACTCATACCTTCTTGACCGAGCATATGAATGGGGTAAAATGGTGAGTTTGTTGTCAGAATATTATGGTGACTTATATTTGGAAGTTTTGTATCTCAATTTTTTAAATTAGTATGAAATTGAATATTATTCTTTACTAAGACTTTAGCTAGTAGCTGTATGCTTGAGAGATTTCTAGCATAAGGTGATGCCATTCTATTGCGGGTTCTGTTAACACTATCAAAATGACATATTTTTTGTCCTCCGTCATTTGGGCAACTTATAATGAAGTTGTGTACAATCTGCTAACGTGCAACTTTTGAATGTCAAGCCCAAACTATCATTTTACTTTTACAAATCCTAGAAACTTTCTTCTCCATCATAAAACCCTAACCCTAGAAATCGTCCATAACCAATACCCACCACAATACCTATTGTAAGCTGTGATAATCCCAAGTTCCCTAAATACCTCCTGCATCAAATTTTCTGTCCTAGAAATCAACCAATCGTTCCATTATGGAATGCACTTCACAAGCCAAGGTTAGTTGAATGTATGCCTTTTATTTTCCATTTTAGTTGAGGGAGCAGACCTTGACTAGCTGGGCACATATCTAATGTTATCAATCTGTCTTTAGGAAGTTTTCAATGGATGAGCTTTTTGTTATATTTTTTTAATCTTTTGTTAATATTTTGTGTTTACCATGTTGTTGTTTTAGTTGACCCTAGGAAATCAAGCCTAAGGCTTGTTGAAGTTGAGTTGAGTTGAGACCATGTTCTTGTCTATGTTTTGTGTTGTTTAGAGCGTCTGTATGTGCATTTTTCATACGATGAAAGTTCTGATGGTTTGTAAACTAGGTTTAAATTTTGTAATGTTACTATGCTCATAGAATATTTAACTTGTTATTGTGTTTTGAGTTAGCCATGTTTTAGAACTAGGAATACTCAACGTGTTTGGTTTCTTAACTCAGGATTCACTTTTCAAAAATTGAAATTTTTTGTTTTCCTTGTTATTTTGTTTTTACTAAATATTTTTAACATTTTAAGATTTTTTTTTTAGTTTTTAGATACACCTAACGTAAATACACTTAAAAAGTATAATATTTGTGAAAAAAATCTTTAAAAAATTCACTAATACCAAAAATACAAAAATTTAGTACATTTTTCATATTTTTGTGTATTTATTGATTTCTTAAAATATTTTTATATAAATATTTTACTTTTTAGATACATCTAAGTAAGGTGCATTTAAAAAAGTAAAAAAATTGCTTAAAATTTTAAAAATATTCACTAAAACCAACAAAATACGGAAAGCAAAAGATTCAATTTCTAAAAAATTGAATTCAGAAAATTGAAAACAAACACAATGACTATGTCTTGGTTTTCCTCATCTAATTTGCAGTATTTGCCTTTTTTTGTTTTTGTTGTTATTCCGGATATACAACTGAGTTTTATGCACTATGCCTTTTGCCTCTAGGAAAACCACTAATTTTTATGTTAAGAAAATAGAAATACTTAATAGTGAGGGAGTGGACACCAAATACTGTACTCTAAACATTAGATTCAATTTAGAATTTCATGCCTTGGAAATGTCTGAGAGGGGAACCAATGAACAAAAGCAACCATTTAAGAAATGCTTTCACTCCATGGGATATTATGGTGGTCTCTTTACATCAAAATTATTGCTACAAATGTGACGTTTGATTTGGAGACTTCTGAAGACTGAAGAGACCTCAAGAACTAAACGCATACATGGATGATTGAAGATTACTTCTGTAATTAGCTCTGTAAATAAATTTATCCTAAATTGTAAGAGAAATTTTGTCTATGATTTTTTTGTCACTGTTTTGTATCATCTCCTAGGTGGACAGTCATGATTAGCTCATTGTTTGAAAATAATCATTAAGGAATTAATGAAGACGAACAATATCTCCCTATGTGCCCCCGGCGATGTTAAAACAGTGAGAAAAATATGAAATATATAGCAGTCCTCAATTTGTAAATGGCAGAAACTTAAATGAGCCAATTTCTATATACATGTTTGGCAAATGTTGTAAATGAGTGAAGTGATAAATCAGTATGCTCTTTCTTGATATTGATGCTACCATGATTGTTATTATTATTCTTGTTATTGTTGTGGTTATTATTATATTGTGAGAAGTAGAGAACGTAGCTAAAGGGGTCCACAACAAATTCTTTTTCTTACTATTTTTACATACTTTGACTCACAGTTTGGTAGGTTAATTGCAGAGTATCCATTTCTGATTTTGTGTTTTGTTCCATATTTGTGTGGTTATGAAAACATTGGAGATTTATTCATTCTTTTGTCTAGAACCTGCAAGACTTTACATTTGAAGTCTCTAGCTAAAGAAAGCTTTAAAAAGGAAAATAACAGAAAAAGTATAAAGTTTATCTGGAATTGACATAAAAAAAGTTGAGGAATTGATCTTCTTAAGTTATTGATTACCTTCTCGGTATGACTTTGTAGGGTAATAGCCTTATGAGGATCCTTAATATAGCAGCATTTGCTGTGTCAGGATATTCTTCTACAGAGGGAAGAAATTGCAAGCCATTTAATCCATTATTGGGGGAGACATATGAAGCTGATTATCCAGATAAGGGCCTCCGTTTTATCTCAGAGAAGGTATTTTTAATTGTTGCTTGAAGTTTTAAATGTTAAGTTCTTCATATGTAATATATTTTTTCCAAGTTTGTGATGTTTAAAGTTGTATATGATTCACTACCTTCCTGATCCTATTCTGTGAGAAGAGATTTATAGAAAAATACTGTTATGCTTATCTGTAACTAACATATATAGAAAATGCTGTAGTTTTTTATTTTATTTTTTATACTTTAAGAATAGATTTTTGAGTCTCCAAACTAGGGGTAAGGTTGACTACCTATTACCTCTCCCAAACCCTTATAAATCAAGAATTGCGTACTGGGTACAACCTTTGAAAATAGATTTTTACCTGTGTGATGTGTCACTCAATTGTTTTTTTTTTGAACAACCAGATGTTTGATGAAATTGAAAACTAACGGATGTTAAATTAATTTGTCACTTGAGATCTAAATTTAAAACCATATTTATCACATTTTTCAAGCTTTCTAGGATAACTTAGGTCTCTTTGACTTGACATTAAGACTCTTTTTAACTGCTTTATCAAATGCACTTAATAAGAGATACACTGAAAAAATTTCAGACCTAAGCAGTTAATGGAGTCACAAACAACCACTTAGGATGTATCTGGACCATACACTGTTTTTCTGGGTACTTTGTTGTTTCTGTTCTTAGAATTACTGGAATAAGTACTTATCATAGACAGACGTGCAACTTTGCTCAACAATGCGAGCACTTGATGGTCGATCACATGCATTTTTCTATCTTATTTAGATGTGTCTAAGGTTATGTCCTTTAAACATATGTATATATACATATATATATATATGTGCATGTATATTGTGATTACTAAAAAAGCAACGCCCAATTAGTACACATTAATGTGTGTTTGGGATGTATGTTATGATTACTCCCTTAAATAATTTATTTTCATGTCTTTGTAACTTGCTCAACTCATTATTTTCAATCTCCCTCTAGTTCCTTGTGCGTTCATCAGTTTCTTTGCACATCACCTAACTATCTTGGATGGATTTCTCTTTCGTCATGGAAAATTATATTTGGTTTGCCATCGTTGTGCTCTGTGGAGCCTTTTGATAGTCTTATTTTATGTTTATTTTTTTCTCTTTTATTTTTTTGGAAGGTTTGAGCAATGGTGTATGCAAGATTTAATGTATAAAAATATAGAGAGAATTGTATTATTGATAGATTGTATTGAATTGTATTTTTTACAATTACAAGGATTCCTATTATATAGGAGTGTGTTTGGGAGTAGGTGGAGAGGTGGAGTAGGTGAAGTGGAGGTGGTAGTGGTGTAGTGGGTTAGGTTTAGTGGAGAGGTGGAGTAGGTGAAGTGGAGGTGGTAGTGGTGTAGTGGGTTAGGTTTAGTGGAGTAGGTGAGGTGGTAGTGGTGGTAGGTGAAGTGAAAATTTTAACAGTGTAAGAGAAACAAATCCCCAATAGAGTGCTTTTTGTAGAAATTTAATGTATAAAGAGAAATGATTGTATTATTGATTGTTGTATATTATTAATTACAAATGGTGAGGGGCTCCTTATATAGGAGATGTAGTGGAGTAGGTGGCAGTAGGTGGTAGTGGTAGGTGTGTAGTAGGTAGTAGTAGGTGGTGGTAGGTGTAGTAGGTGGAGTAGGTGATGGTAGGTTTTAACAGCCCTCCGCAAACTCAAGGGGGATAGGAACTAACCAACTTGAGTTTGGAGAGAGTAACAAAACAAGAAAATAGACGAATACATAAAAGAAAAGAGGGTAGGAGACACTGTATGGTCGTGTTAGACCGATGGTGAAGACACTGTATGGTGGTGTCATAACGTTGTAGAGGACACTGGATGGTTGTGTCAGAACGATGTAGAAGACAGTTTATGGAGTCATGTCGGACCGTTGTAGCAGACAATGTTGTGACAGTTGTTGTGACAGTTGACGGAGTCTTGCTGGACCCTTGTAGAAACTAACCGGAATCAATGTCGGGACAGTTTACAGAGTCTTGTCAGACCCATAAAGGAGCTAACCGGAATCAATGTCGGGACAGTTTACAAAGTCTTGTCGGACCCATGAAGGAGCTAACCGGAATCAATGTAGGGACAGTTTACAGAGTCTTATCGGACCCTTAGTCTTGTCGGACCCCTTAAAAAATCGCATCCTCAAAAGGTGCGCTCAATTTTTCAAAAGGCGTGCCATCAAAAGGCGTGCCCAATCCATAAAAAGGTGTGCCGGACATTATGGCGAGGCGCGTGACTACCTTGGCTGGCGCGCCCGTTTTGTCGTCTGGCGTCAAGTGGCGCGCGATGCGCGTGTCTGCCTTGGCTATTTAACCAAGACGGATGCTGAGGCTGAGACAGAGGCTAAGACAAAAAACTGGCTAAAAACCTCTGAGAAACTCTTTGTTGTCTTGAGAGAGATACTCTGTAACACTCTGTAACCAACCCTTCTCTGAAACACTTAGCAACCCATAACATGGCCTCGTCTTCTCGTTCAGCTACCCAGAATATGGTCTCTTCGGCCCGTGGTCTGCTCACTCTCTTTCCCGACCTCAACGAGTCAACAAGAGAGATAACTGGTGCGGTGGCCAGTGAACCTCAACCAAGCGCCTCTGGTTTTGCTCCGTTGAACTTTCCGATGCGGTCGGTGGAGCAAAAAATGGCGGTGCAAACGGATATTGAGGCCAATCAGTATACTTTGAAGTCATGTGTGGAGACCATGAGGCGGTCACAAACCTATCGCACCGGCTGCAGAGTAGGACAAATGAGGTGCAGCAATTAAACGCCCAACTAGCTCTGCTCCAACGCATGTATAAGGATGCGCGAGCAGAGATAAGTGTGCTAAAGGCGGAAAATAAGGAGCTGAAACGGAAGGCCATCGTGATGTTCCGATTCGGAGGTCCGCCATATGCTACAGTAGAGGAGCAGAGAATAGTGATCGTGCCCAGTGGAGTGGGAAACACGGAGGCAACACCGTCAAGGGCCGCCCAGGACGGAGGCAAGAAGAAGAGACCAGAGAGATATACCTCTGTGTTTGCTGTGTGCTGCTTGAGGGAGAGAATGACTTGAACAAAAATTTTACTGGTTGTTGCTTAGGTCTTATTTGTTTATTCACCAAAGAAAAAAAAAAAAAAAAAAAAAAAAAAAAAAAAAGGAAAAAATGCAAAGAATGAAGAAAAGATAAAAAAAGAAGAAATAAAAAGAAAAGAAAAGAATGAAAAGAAGAGAAGCATCCGGTGGAAATATTAAAAAAAATGTGATGGATATGTATGTGAAAGATGTTTGGGTGGAAGAGATGATTATGATTTCAAAAAAGAAGATGAAAAAAAAATAATAATAATAATAAATAAATAAATAAAATAAAAATAAAAAAAGAAGATTGGTGTCTGAGTAGAAAAAGTGGAGCATCTCTGTGCCTCTTTGAAACTATATGCTGGGTTTGATCAAAACCGTGGGTCAAATTACCACCCACGTGAGTCCACTTCCCAAGTAGGAAAAGCAGATATAAGATACGATAATAGCATGGGTGGGGAACATGGATTTGATTAAAGAAATAGCTATGACAAGCAAAGATGCAAAAATTGATGAGTTTTCAATAAAGGGATCGACATCCCACCACCACATATTCAATCAAAGTGGGCCCAAGTCCAAAACTTCCTCCGCACCCTTTTTTTCCCAAGCCTCACCTTAGAAGCAAAGAATTATCATATTATCATCATCCAGGGGCGCTTATCATATTAACAAGTGCATGAGGGCAATACTTGGCGATCGCAGTGCACAGTGATTTGACAATGCCAGCGGTGATGTTAAAGAGATCATCGCGAGTCATACCAGGTTTTCTTGGCACACCAGCTGGAATGATGACAATATCACATCCCTCCAAAGCCTTCCCTAGCGGATCCTCACCCATGTACCCATTTACCTCAGATCTGGTGTTGATGTGGCGGATATCGGCGGCGACGCCGAGGGTTGCGGCGATAGAGGGAGAGCTTGGAGACGAGTGGGTTCAGCTTCATCAGCAGCGCAAGCGGCTGCCCGATGCCGCCGGCAGCTTCCAAGACGGCTACCTTACGCTCCGGAGCCGAGTCCGATGAGTAGAAACGACGTAGGAGATGAGTTGATGAGGCACCTGTTGTGCTTCGTCTCAGAGAGGATTGGATTTGCGTCGGCGAGGTGGTAAAGAAGAGTGAAGGTATGTGTAAACAAAAATTCTAGCGGACTAGGTTGAGGTCCGGCGGGCGGCTAAGGTGAGGTTGCCGCCCGCCGGGGAAGCGAAAATACTAGGTTCTAAACCCGCTCTGATACCATGTAGAAATTTAATGTATAAAGAGAAATGATTGTATTATTGATTGTTGCATATTATTAATTACAAATGGTGAGGGGCTCCTTATATAGGAGATGTAGTGGAGTAGGTGGTAGTAGGTGGTAGTGGTAGGTGTGTAGTAGGTGGTAGTAGGTGGTGGTAGGTGTAGTAGGTGGAGTAGGTGATGGTTTGGGATGTATGTTATGATTACTCCCTTAAATAATTTATTTTCATGTCTTTGTAACTTGCTCAACTCATTATTTTCAATCTCCCTCTAGTTCCTTGTGCGTTCATCAGTTTCTTTGCACATCACCTAACTATCTTGGATGGATTTTGTAGAAATTTAATGTATAAAGAGAAAAAGAGAATTGTATTATTGATTGATGTTTGTAATTGTTGAATTATTGAATGCTACAATGATTCCTATATATAGAAGAGTAGGTGGTAGTAGGTGGTAGATGGAGTAGGTAAAGTGGAGGTGGTAGGTGGAGTAGGTGAAGTGGAGGTGGTAGTGGTGTAGTGGGTTTAGTGGAGTAGGTGAGGTGGTAGTGGTGTAGTGGGTTAGGTTTAGTGGAGTAGGTGAGGTGGTAGTGGTGTAGTGGGTTAGGTTTAGTGGGTGAAGTAGGTGAGGTGGTAGTGGTGTAGTGGGTTAGGTTTAGTGGGTGAAGCAGGTGATAGGTTTTAACAGTCCCCCGCAAACTCAAGGGGGATAGGAACTAACCAACTTGAGTTTGGAGAGAGTAACAAAACAAGAAAATACATAAAAAATAAAAGAGGATAGAAGACACTGTATGGTCGTGTCAGACCGTTGTAGAAGACCGATGTAGAAGACACTGGCTCGTGTCGGACCGATGTAGAAGACAGTTTATGGGGTCATGTCGGACCGTTGTAGAAGACAGTTTACGGAGTTTTGCTGGACCCTTGTAGAAACTAACCGGAATCTATGTCGGGACAGTTTACAGAGTCTTGTCGGACCCATGAAGGAGCTAACCGGAATCAATATCGGGACAGTTTACAGAGTCTTGTCAGACCCATGAAGGAGCTAACCGGAATCAATATCGGGACAGTTTACAGAGTCTTGTCAGACCCATGAAGGAGCTAACCGGAATCAATATCGGGACAGTTTACAGAGTCTTGTCAGACCCATGAAGGAGCTAACCGGAATCAATATCGGGACAGTTTACAGAGTCTTGTCAGACCCATGAAGGAGCTAACCGGAATCAATATCGGGACAGTTTACAGAGTCTTGTCAGACCCATGAAGGAGCTAACCGGAATCAATATCGGGACAGTTTACAGAGTCTTGTCAGACCCATGAAGGAGCTAACCGGAATCAATATCGGGACAGTTTACAGAGTCTTGTCAGACCCATGAAGGAGCTAACCGGAATCAATATCGGGACAGTTTACAGAGTCTTGTCAGACCCATGAAGGAGCTAACCGGAATCAATATCGGGACAGTTTACAGAGTCTTGTCAGACCCATGAAGGAGCTAACCGGAATCAATATCGGGACAGTTTACAGAGTCTTGTCAGACCCATGAAGGAGCTAACCGGAATCAATATCGGGACAGTTTACAGAGTCTTGTCAGACCCATGAAGGAGCTAACCGGAATCAATATCGGGACAGTTTACAGAGTCTTGTCAGACCCATGAAGGAGCTAACCGGAATCAATATCGGGACAGTTTACAGAGTCTTGTCAGACCCATGAAGGAGCTAACCGGAATCAATATCGGGACAGTTTACAGAGTCTTGTCAGACCCATGAAGGAGCTAACCGGAATCAATATCGGGACAGTTTACAGAGTCTTGTCAGACCCATGAAGGAGCTAACCGGAATCAATATCGGGACAGTTTACAGAGTCTTGTCAGACCCATGAAGGAGCTAACCGGAATCAATGTCGGGACAGTTTACAAAGTCTTGTCGGACCCCTAAAAAGTCGCACCCTCAAAAGATGTGCCCAATCTTTCAAAAGGCGTGCCATCAAAAGTTGCGCCCTCAAAAGGCGCGCCCACTTCATCAAAAGTCGTGCCCGACAGAAAGCGTCGAGCCATCAAGACCGGCGGCAGAGTAGAGAAGAAAAAATCCTGCCTGTGGATGTGGTTGTTTGGGTTTGTTTTTTTTGTTTTTTTGTTTTGTTTTTTTTTTATTTTTAATAATAAAAAATTGAGGTTCAAGGAAAAGTTGGGCTGTGGAAAGAAGAAAAAGAAAAAGTAGCACCCACGTGAGTTCCATCCAATTTTTTATATATATAAGATAAAAAAAATAAGGTTTGGACGGTGGAAAAATATTTTAAAATAGAAAAAATTATATAATATAGTTATCTCTTTGAAACTATATGCTGGTGTTGATCAAAAAAGTGGGCCAAATTACCAATACCGCCAATCTTGTAGACATCCTGAAGTGGGAGACGAAGAGGCTTGTCTGATGGCCTCTTGGGCTCTGTAATCATGTCGAGGGCATCAAGAAGGGGTGGGCCCTTGTACCATGTTACCGGTGTAGAAGACACTGTATGAGCGTGTATATAGGCTGCCCAAAAGATATACATGGATATAGATATCGAGCCCTCAAAAGTCGTGCCCTATTTTGTGGCTTGGAATAGCAGGGGATTGAAACCAGACGCAAGGAAGGCCGGTGTCGCGACGGAGCTTTGGCAAAGGGACATCGACGTGCAAGCGGTGGTGGTCTCCGGCGACTGAACAGTAGTGCACTCAGAAAGGAAATTTCAAGGTATGTGTAGAAAAATTTTAGCAGATTAGGTTGAGATCCGGCGGACGGCCAAGGCGAGGTTGCCGCCCGCCGGTGAAGTGAAAAATACTAAGTGCTTAACCTTGCTCTGATACCATGTAGAAATTTAATGTATAAAGAGAAAAAGAGAATTGTATTATTGATTGATGTTTGTAATTGTTGAATTATTGAATGCTACAATGATTCCTATATATAGAAGAGTAGGTGGTAGATGGAGTAGGTAAAGTGGAGGTGGTAGGTGGAGTAGGTGAAGTGGAGGTGGTAGTGGTGTAGTGGGTTTAGTGGAGTAGGTGAGGTGGTAGTGGTGTAGTGGGTTAGGTTTAGTGGAATAGGTGAGGTGGTAGTGGTGTAGTGGGTTAGGTTTAGTGGGTGAAGTAGGTGAGGTGGTAGTGGTGTAGTGGGTTAGGTTTAGTGGGTGAAGCAGGTGATAGGTTTTAACAGATTTCTCTTTCGTCATGGAAAATTATATTTGGTTTGCCATCGTTGTGCTCTGTGGAGCCTTTTGATAGTCTTATTTTATGTTTATTTTTTTCTCTTTTATTTTTTTTTGGAAGGTTTGAGCAATGGTGTAAGAGAAACAAATCCCCAATAGAGTGCTTTTCTTGCAAATTGGATTGTTTAGGCATAGAGGAATGTCAGTGGCACCACCACTGAGAACAAATGATGGAAATATTTTGGAAGGCACATGTCACCCTAGAGATTGGCTAGATTAGTGGGACAGACTTTGGCCCAGCTTCAACCTCATGAGAGGTGATTGCTCCAGTAGAAACGAGATCTTGAGATACAGAGGTGCACCACATCATTTGTGTAAAAATAACGAACATGATACAGAAGGGCATACCTGGTGAAACTTGCAAGAGTAATTTCTGTTCCTGTAATTGCAGAAAGCAAAGACTGGGGATAAAGATAAACTTAGTATGCTGTTCTAGAGAACTGTTTTGAGGAAATTGAAATAGAAATAACCCATGCTCTAAAAACAACGAATTGTTGCTTTCATTTCTCTGTTTTCTATTTCCCAGTAAAAAATAACAGATTGTGTTTTCTCTATATTTTTATTGATTTGTGCTTTCAGAAACATGTTAGAGAACTCATTTGGAAAACTATTCGATGATTTCTCCAAGTATTTCTGTTGGGAATATGCGTTGAAAATTTTTTTCTTACCTTATTTTGGATCTAAAAGATTTGATAGGGCTTATATGGGGGTTTTGACAAGTGATTTGGTGGCAGGTACCTTATTTATTTAAGAAATGTTATTTGTTTTCTTAAAGGTTTTGTATTTTTTTTAAAAAAATATGTAGTGGTCGTACTCTTGGTACCATATGTTATGGTGTGATGGTGTCCAATGTAACAAGGCTGCTGACAAGGTGCTGGGTGTGGATGGTTTTTTTGTCAGTTAAATGTGTCCTCAATTTGGAATAGTTGAATTGTTTCTTCAGATTCTTTTATTAAGCCGTTCATTTTTGGTTTCATATTTGTGGTTTTATATCTATATTTTGAGAGAAAAAGCAAAGCTTCTGTGTTGCCAATGTCAGAGATTGCCGTATAACTGTTTATGGTACTTTTAACTGTGAATGAGTTAGAGATATTTTCATTGGTATTTATCCCTGATTTTCATTGGTTCAATGGTAAAACCTTAGCCTAATAATCTTGAGATTATGGGTTCAAGTCTTGGGGCAACCACTTTGTGCACTATGCATTAGGTGTACCCAATCTTTCCGCTCACAAACACACATTAATGTATACTAATTGGGCGTTGTTTTTATAAAATGGTTTCTAGTGTATTGTAATAAAGACCAAAAGCATTTATATGCCTTTCGGATTAAGTCACTGGTTAGTTTTATTCGTATATTGTGGGCTAGTAATTGATTACAATGCTATGATTTCTTTAAATTTGTTGACGTAAGCAGGTTGAATACATCTTGCATATAAGGTTATTATCGGACTACCCTTAGGTTCATGTTTCATAGCTAATACTTGCTGGGAAATTTCTTTTCAACTTTGAAGCCAACAAGTCATCATTCAGTTTATTTCAGCGATATTCCTTCTGCAACTGATGCTTTCTGACTTGTATAAATGTTAATTGCTAAAAATTAGACTGGTTTGTGGCATGCCAGTATAATTGGTGAGGAAACTTCTCATCTATTGAAGATAATAAACTGATTTAAAGTATTTAAATGCTGATGTATGACATGATCTCTTTTAAAAATGAAAAACATGAAAATATTGCTTTTCATTTGTGTACTTGTTAAAGAGTTCATTGTACAACTGTAGCTTTCTTGTTTTTTCTTTTATTTCTTACCGTGGCTTTGGTTGAGCATTTTGGTGTGGAGGTGCTGTTTGAATATAACTCTTTTTATTTGGTACTAACAAATGCCTGCTCTGTAATTATTGTTCTACTTCTCTCCATAAGCATATTCAAGTATGTCAGTGCATATACAAGACATGAATACATACTTACTAATGTCTTTGTGACCGATAAAATGTTTGATTGATTTATAGTTTGCTTTTTTCATTTTTCTGCCTTTAAAGTGATTTGTTTACCTTGATATAGGTTAGTCATCACCCCATGATTGTTGCATGCCATTGTGAGGGACGCGGTTGGAAATTTTGGGGAGACAGTAATCTAAAGAGTAAATTTTGGGGTCGTTCAATTCAGCTTGATCCTGTTGGTGTTCTCACCTTGGAGTTTGATGATGGAGAAGTTTTTCAATGGAGTAAGGTATGCTACTAGCATTAGGAAGAACTTGTCTTCTTTACTATGCCGCCTTATTTTTTGAACTTGATACCATCAGGTAACAACATCGATCTACAACCTTATTTTGGGAAAGCTCTATTGCGATCATTATGGTACGATGCGTATACAGGGAAATCATGACTACTCTTGTAAGCTAAAATTTAAGGAGCAGTCAATCATTGATCGAAATCCTCACCAGGTGCCGTTTTCTCACTTCAAATATGTAATGACTATTTGCACTGCATGGCTGTTAATATGATTCCATTTATAAAATATATTTTGTTTTTTATGTGTAGTCGTTACATACTATATAAAATTAGTTATGGTTTTTGGATGAAAAGGTTTGATGTTTAAGTAGATTAAACAATTGGCTTGGAACATCAGTATCATCATGAAACTGCAACCATTTTGGAATTTTGGATTTAATTCACGGTAAAAATGAAGTCAAATTGTGGATGCCAATGAGGAAAATTCTGGGAATAATTTAGAGATAATTCATAAATAATTGCCTTCAGAATCATTTTCAATAAGGTGTAAAAATACAACTGAAGTCGTGGAAGCTCTGACAGATGTATACACATCTATAAAATAAGATTAGCATTAAAGTAATTTTCTCAAAACTAATTCATCGGATGAAGTACAATTAGGAAGGAGAAAAGAAGAATAATGAAGAAAGAGAAAAGAGGAACCAATGTATGGCTGTTGAAAAATAGAGCAAAAAATTAGGGTCATCTCTTTTAGTCACAAATTTATATTAATAATATGATTGAAAGTGCAGAAATATCCCTCGGACTACAAAATCAGGGTTATCTCTATCATGAATTGCATATATGATTAAGTTGTGTTTCAGGTACAAGGCGTCGTGCAAGATAAGAATGGCAAAACAGTGGCATCATTAGTTGGTAAGTGGGATGAGAGCCTGCATTATTTTAATGGAGACTGTTCTGGGAGAGGAAAAGGATTAGATATGTCAAGCGCGTGTTTGCTTTGGAAACGCAGCAAGCCCTCCAAATTTCCAACCAGATATAACTTAACACACTTCGCCATCAACCTAAATGAGATCACTCCCAGACTAAAGGTATCGGTGGGAGACCATTTTATAGTTACTTTCCTACTGATTTTTTTTTTTTTTTTTTTTTTTTGTGTCTCATTTTTCTCGGTTTATAATATCTTCTTTTTCTTGCACCCACGTTGAAATTTGTATGCAGGAAAAGCTGCCACCAACAGATTCACGACTCAGACCTGACCAGAGATGTCTAGAGAATGGAGAATATGAAATGGCTAATTCAGAGAAGCTGCGGCTGGAACAGAGGCAGCGTCAGGTGAGATACATAAGCATTTTTTGTGATATTTTCTTTATTTTTCGTTCAAAATATTTTCTTCTTGTGCTGCTCATTCATGTATAATCGATCATTTGCATGGAAAAAAAAAGTGATAGAAAATGTGTTTATATAAAATTGCAGTCACGAAAGATGCAAGAAAGTGGGTGGAAGCCTAGGTGGTTTGCGAAGCAGGCAGGTAGTGATACATACTGCTATGTTGGAGGATATTGGGAGGCCAGGCAAGAAGGGAAGTGGGAATCGTGTCCTGATATTTTTGGCCAAGTGCTTAATGATACAGAATTTTGACTCGTTTAAAATACCCATTTCAATACCCTGATTTTTTCTCCATTATTCCATTTACTGCATACATGGTGGCAGAGGTTTCGTGCACTGTATTGCACTTCAATTTTTTTTTTTTTTTTTTTTTTTTTTTCTTCTTCTTCTATTAAAGATATAGGAAAGTTTGGATGTCATGCTCGCCATTTTGAGCAGATGAAAGGCTGAAGCATGAAAATTCATGCAGATGATATCGTTGGTGATTAATAAGAATTTACTCTCTCTCTCTCTCTCTCTCTCTCTCTCTCTCTCTCTCTCTCTCTCTCGTATATGTGTGCATTTGCCTGTAATGCGGTGTTTGATTCACTAAAATGAAATAGGATAGAATGAAATGGTCATTCGGGGTTCTTGGTGTGTATTCAGAGTCCATAGGGTTCAGATAGATTGAATCCTTAACGCAATATTTTTAGATGATTTGCTTTGAGTGTAAACGACAAGGTGGATGAATCCATTTAATTAAGTAAAGAGTATTTCTTTAGTGGGTTGATTTTTTATTTTTATTTATTTTTAATAATTTAGAGGGTTTTGTCTTGGAATGTTGCTTCATTTCAACCATCCCATTGTAATAATCTACGGCATATGATTACTCCAGTTAATGTTGTAGAAAAACTCTGTTAAGCTGCGTTTGAATGTCGGCTTTTTTCATTCTTTTTTTTTTTTTTTGGTCCTCAACAAATTCAAATTCTAAACACAAACTAAATTTTTTAGGGTTTGAGAGCTGGCAACTAAGGCCATGCTTGTTTAGCCTCTTCAAGGATAGGGTATTGGATTAACAATGTGTGGGAAACTATATTTGAGAAAATTTCATTTTGTCCTTCAATTTCTTACATTTGTGTCACTTTATAATTTTAATAATCTGTATCTTAAATTATTGAACTTATTTACTTTGTCCCAATTTGAACTTATTTTAGTTTGTCCCAATTTGATTATGGCATCGATGAAAATTTTCACTTAAAACCTAAAACTACTACTCTAGTTTTATTTTATTCCGAAACTATCAATTTTAACAAGTAAGAACCTTTAACTATTAAAATTATTTATTAATGACTCACAATTTCTGACTGGTTTGAAGGGTGATTTCTGGTGTGACCTAAATATACTTATTTGTTGTTGTCATTGGCCGACTTCACCTCTCTCCATTTTCTCATCGCCTCCACCTCTACATTTTCTTGCTTGTTTTGTTGGGGACTTTTTGTGTGTATTTTTCTTTTTATAGTCTATTTGTGTGTCTTAGCACCATTTGAACTACCACCATTCTTTTCGTAAGCATTTCTTGACTACTTGTAACTTCCAACTCTAACCTAGATTTGTTGCTGACTGTCTTCCTCTGTCATTTTATGGCCTAGATTTCTCTTTTCCTTCAGCAACTCAATTGTACTTCGATGTTTTTGATTGATTGATTTATGGTTGGGTATACCATATATCGAGGCTTCCAGGCTATCACATAAAAATAAAAATAAAAATAAAAAAAGTTTTTTTGTTTTTTAGAATGGAAAAAAAGAAAAAAAAGTTAAAAACTCTTTATTAGATATCGTTTGGTAACACTTACGTGTTCAGTTTTCTGTTTATATTTACAAAAATTTTAAAAACTCAAATAAAAACTTGTTTGGTAAAATTTTTGATTTATAAATCAGTGGTCTCAGTTATAAATTTGGCCAAAAAATGAAAACACAAAAAATCCCCCCCCCCCCCCCCCCCCCCCCCCCCCCCCCCCCCCCCCCCCCCCCCCCCCCCCCCCCCCCCCCCCCCCCCCCCCCCCCCCCCCCCCCCCCCCCCCCCCCCCCCCCCCCCCCCCCCCCCCCCCCCCCCCCCCCCCCCCCCCCCCCCCCCCCCCCCCCCCCCCCCCCCCCCCCCCCCCCCCCCCCCCCCCCCCCCCCCCCCCCCCCCCCCCCCCCCCCCCCCCCCCCCCCCCCCCCCCCCCCCCCCCCCCCCCCCCCCCCCCCCCCCCCCCCCCCCCCCCCCCCCCCCCCCCCCCCCCCCCCCCCCCCCCCCCCCCCCCCCCCCCCCCCCCCCCCCCCCCCCCCCCCCCCCCCCCCCCCCCCCCCCCCCCCCCCCCCCCCCCCCCCCCCCCCCCCCCCCCCCCCCCCCCCCCCCCCCCCCCCCCCCCCCCCCCCCCCCCCCCCCCCCCCCCCCCCCCCCCCCCCCCCCCCCCCCCCCCCCCCCCACCCCCCTCCCCCCCCCCCGCCCCCCCCAGCCACCACCACTACCACCAAAACCCACCACCCACCACCACCACTCACTCGCTACCACCTACTACCTGCCACCACCACTCACTCGCTACCACCTACTACCCGCCACCGTCACCCACTCACCCACCCACCACCACTACCACCCATCACCACCAGTTACCCACCACCCACCGTCACCACTTTCCACTACCGTCTTCCGCCGCCGCCGCCGCTGCCACTTGCCACCACTTGTCATTTCTCACTCTTTTTTATATTTTAAACATTTTATCAATTATCAAACGCGTTTGTAGTTTATGTTTTTCTAAAAATAAACAAAAAATAAACAAAAACCAGTTTATAAAATTTTTGTAAATATAAACTGAAAACGTAAACGTTACCAAACACATTGTATCTCATCTTTGACACCCACCTCAAGCTTCTAGAACTCTCTTCTCACTTTGGATTGGTGTTTAGAAATCAAAATATTATCATCCCTTAATTATTGTTATATTATTATATAAAAGTTGAATCTGAGTCATATATTTTTTTCATAAATGAAATTCCAAATAATTTTTGTAAGCACCTAAAGTAGGTTTAGGCCTCGTTTGGGAACCCTTCTTTTTAGCCAAAAAGTTAAAAAGTTACTAAATTGGTCAAAAAGTTAACAACTCATACAAAAAAGTCAAAAATTCTCTTTTTTCTCTACTTTTTGCACATCTTTTCGTAAAAAGTCAAAAAATCATTCCAAACATATTAATTTTTTTTAACTCATATTTTGGCTAAATAATCAAAAAGTTACTAAATTAGTCTATTCCCAAACGAGGCCTTAGTAAAGAAAAACAATTAAAGCATTTTTCCGTAAAAGAAGTTGTCATGGTCAATTAATGAAGCTTTTCCTTGATGAGAAATGAAAGAGAGAAAGATTAGGGATAGACAAAGTTGTGGTTAGAAAGATTAGGGATGGACAAAGTTGCTCTTTTTTTTTGGGGGGAGGGGGTGAAGTTTGTGATTGGAGAGATTTTGTTATCGAAATTTTTACTTTTATTTTTACTTTTATTTTTATGTTTTGTATTGTGAAAAATTTTGCTTTGAAAACTTGGATTTTATATATAGATATTTATTTTGCGGTGGTGTTACATGTGTCAATTAGTATGTTAATTAGTGTATCAATACTAGTAATGACATTATTATTGACTCCACTCATTAATCATATTATAAATACTAAAAATCTCTTAAATTATGTCATATTATTAATTAACACACTAATTAGACCATCTCCAACGGTGAACCAAACCCAGCATCAAATTCAAATTTTGATGAAAAACCTACTTTTTCAAGCTCCAACCGTTGCACCAAAGTCATATCAAAATGAGAATTCAGCAAACAAAACATCAAACTGAGACCAAGACACAGATTTTACCAAATCACTGTTACTGACCGTTGAAAGTGGTACACCGGTCAACCAACCGGTTGCCCGGCCGGTTGACCAACTGGTCAACCGGTTCCTTTTGAAATAACTAGGTTCAAACCGGTCAAAAAAGGTTCAAACAGGTAAAAAAAAAATAAATAATAAAAAATTTGCCCAAACCGGTCGACCATTTCCCCAATTCTGTTTTGATGCTCACCATTGGAGCGCCTCGTATCAAATTGAAAAAATCGTCATTTTTTTCATCAGATTTGATGAAAAAAGAAGTTAAGCGTTGGAGATGCTCTTAGTATATTAATTGATGCATATAGTATTATTCTTTATTTTTGGGGTGTCTTCTCAAACATGTAATGGTAATCAACCTTTTGACCTTCCATCTAAATACTAATGAAAGTAAATGTAAGATGTTGATTATATTATTTAATTTTGATGATATTTAAAATATTATTTGTAAAAATTTAAATTTTTTTAATATACATATTATTTGACACAAAATATTATATTTTTTAAATATATATATTTGTTAAATATTATTTAAATAAAAATATTTTTGAAAACTCTATTATTCACTTTTTGAAATTTAGGCTGATCACTATTCACTTTTTGACAAAATTAAAATTGATTAATTATATTATTTTGACAAAATTAATTGATTGGTTGTATTATCTTGACAAATGTGCTATTGATGAGTTGTCTTCTTTTGATAAAAATGATATATCCAAATATAGTGGTAGGATATATTTAGTTTAAAATTTCTACAACATATACAATATTTTAAAGAGGGCATATATTTTCAGATCCATCATAAATATTATTTAAAGAGATTTTTCTGTATGCAAATATTTGATTAGAACATTATATATACAATGCATATAATATAAATAGAATACATCACGTGCGCTATTAAAGTTTTTACACTACATTGATTATATTATATTATAATAAAACAAGAAGAAAAAGATTGAGTTATATATATATATATATATTATAATAAAACAAGATGGAGCAAATCATTTGCTTATTTGAAAGTTGTGAACTTTATACTAAATTGTCTACAAAAACGGCGGCTCCATGTTTGAAAAAATAAAAAAGGAAAAGAAAAAATTAGTCATACTTTTATCTTTTTAATTATTAATATTTGTTGACTATTTAAAATCAATGAGCGTGCTTATGTAAGCCATAACGTCAGCATTGACTATTTAAAATTAAGGAGCGTGCTTATGTAAGCCATGACGTCAGCAGCGTGCTTATGTAAGCCATGGCGTCAGCAATGAGCGTCCAACGAGTATATTTTTATATATAAATAGAAGTGTTGTGTGTGGAGAAAAATCAAGAACTTGAAGAGAAAAATTTATGTGAGCTCCAAAATTCTGAGTATATTGTATTATGCTCTTTCACTTTTAGATCTAAGTCTAGCCTTTGTTCTTACACTTTCATATCTACTATTTGTGAGAGAATTATTGTAAAAGAAGGTTTAAGTACCACTTATTCTTATTCCTTATTTTTGTGAGAGATTTTATAAGGGCGAGACATTTATTGTTGAGTGAGGCTCAATAGATAAGAGTAAATCCTGTACCAAATCCACAAGCTTGGTGGTGTATTTATTCAATTGATAGTAAGGAAATTCTCAAGGAGGTTCCTTGGGGAGTGGACGTAGGCCTGGTGTGTCGAACCACTATAAATCCCAGTGTTTGATTTTCTCTCTTTATCTCTCTTACTTTTATATTGATAATTATTATTCTGTTTTTTTTTTAATTTGTTAAAATTCTAAATATTGTGTTAATTTTAATATTGTAAAATTTTTAATAACCCAATTCACCCCCTTCTTGGGTTGTCTACCTGTGATAACATAAGGTTTTAACTACTATTGAAATTAATGATATTAAATGTTTAGGGGTTGTTTGGGGTGTCCTAAATAAGTTTACTTTTTGACTTTTTGGACTAAAATGTTGAGAAAAAAATGATTGTTTGGGATAATTTTTTGACTTTTTATGAAAAAATGTGTATTAAAAAATTGTATAAATTAGTGTATAAAAGATTGGGATGGAATAGTGTAACAACCCTCATACTGTTTACCGATTAATGACTGATTAACCGCTAATTACTGTTAACCGAGACTGATTTTGACTGATAATTGAACTACCTAAGGTACTGAACTGACTGACTGAAAACTGGAATCGAATTGACTGAGTATGTGTGTGTTAAATTGTGTTCTATCTGTTTGACTGTTTGACTATCTGTTCCTGTTTGTATGTTTAAACTGCTAATTGAAGGCCTTATCGGCGGCCGAATTAGAAATCGACTGATGTTCCGTGACCCTCATAATTAATGTGATTTTACGGTATATTTACCTGAAAACTGTTTAGGTATGATTAAATTAGATTAAAATAAGCTAACTGAAGAGTTGGACTTAATTACCGTTTTGCCATTGTTAGTGGGCCCTTATTATAACATGTTAGAGCCTTGGTATGCTTGAATCAAACATTTTGCTCAGCTCATTCATTGTACATACTGTCCTGTACTGTTTATGTATGAATGTATGAAAAGCCTTTTTGCTGTCAGACTGTCACAGCTCAATGGACACTATTTATTTACTGTATTGGCTTCCGCCAGGCCCTGTACTCTGTTTTACTGTATTACTGTTCTGCAAGCCTTCGGTAATCTCGGATTACTGGCCGGTTACGGTGCTAAACCCATAGGGCCGGGTTTGGGTCGTGACAAATAGGCAGTACGGTGGGATGAATTCAGGACAGCGTGTGCAGAGTGTAGGCTGGGATATGATTCCTTGCTTTTTGGGCATTGAGTTGGAGGTGTTGTTTGGCTCGTGGGGGCCCACCATGAGACCTGTTTTGCTAATCAAAACCGTTAATGTATAGAACTCGTCGAGTACTACATACTTATAAAAATCACGTTGATCGGATATCGATAGCTATCTGATCGAATTAATTTTTTTCAACCGTTAACTACAACACAATCCATTTTATAAATTTTAACTGATTGGATCATATAATTACCGATATCCGATCAACGTAATTTTTTACAAACATATAGTACTCGACGAGTTCTACATATTAAACGGTTCAGATTATTAAAACGGGACCCGTGATGGGCCCCATCGGGTCGAATAGCACCGCGTTATTTGTGCACCTAAATAAGTATAATTTTTCCAAAATGTCAGCTCCGCCTGTGAGATGTCAGAGTTGTTTGAAATTTAATTATGTGGAAAATTAAATTTTTAATATTTTTTTTGTGAATAGTAATAACTTTTTAATTTTTTGAGTAACTTTTGACTTTTTATCTTTTTTAAGATATGTCAAACCAGGACTTAATCATGGGCACCTCAACATGGTTTTTCAATGTGTAAACGGGAGAAAAACGAAAGTGCAAAAAATGGTAACCCAAAATAAAAGTTACTTACATACTACTTTGAATGTACTTTCTTAAATGTAAAGGGGAATAATTAGAAAGGTGAAATAAAAAAATGTTAAACACCCCATGTTATATGCCTTTGGGTTGTTAGTTTATAGTCCAAATGCAATAGCCATGGAAGTGGCGATAATGAAACCCTTGATTGCGTTCATCACCACTCTAATCACCCATTGGATCTTGGAAGTTGTTGATGGTTGATTCAGTGGTGGCTAAGATGGGGGAGGGGGTAAAAGTTTGTGAGTCGGAGGTTAGAAAATAGTGGTTTTTCGATAATTTTAATTTGAAATTAAAGTGGGACCTAATCACCGGTTGAGGTGAGTTTGAGTGATTTTGTATTCTCTTAAGTGAGAAGATTGCAATACAAAAATAATGAGTCGAAACTATTGAGTTAAAAATGAGAATTGACTCATAAAGTAAGCATCAATAAAGTTGGGTTTAGATTTAGACTTAATTTTGGTATGGACTGGACCTAAACTTGTACTTGTGTATGTGTTGGGTTTGATCTTAGACTTGAACTTGGACTTAGTCTTGAGTTTTGGGCTGAGCTGTATTGAGCTTAGTTTGTGCATGTGTTTGATATTGGACTTGAATCGGGTTGCAACCCAACACCCATATCTATTTTGCAACCTATCTAGTTTAATTCTTAAAACTTATGCATTATATACATTTTATGATTTATATAATAGTTTGGGAGTTTTGAACCTTTGTAATTCTGGCCCTAATGGCTAGAGTTGATAACATTTGATAACCCCATTAAGTTAGCCTTCATGGCTAAGGCTCTCCCCTACTAGTATAAATAAAGATTTTTCTCCTCCAACTTAGTAGGTTAATTTTGGGAGAGGTTTTGATGAAAAATAGAGATGGTATTTTGAGATAAAAAGTTGGAGATGTTTTTTACCACCAAAGAAATTTTCCTATCTTCTTTTGCTAGCCCATTCTTTAGTTCTTATTAGAGAGAGTGCAACAATTATCAAGTTCGCCGAAATTATTCAGAAGGTGCTTTTGCATTAACTGGTTTCAACTGTTGTATCTTGGAAGATAGACACCGACGTACCTCCAGCACCCACCGAGAGGGAGTGAATTTGTTTTAAGGAAACTGTGGTATCACACAGGTTTCGGCTTGCATCTTTATCTTTTGTTCTTCAAAATTTTAAATTTAAATAATTTCTCGTATATTATTTTATATGCTCATTTGAATTCATCTTGTAATATGTTCCATGGTGTAATTTAGTTCATTCTTGTATTTTTTTTTTTTAATTCTATAGTTTATTGTATATTTCATTCTTTAATTATAGTTAAAAAAATATATTTTTTCATTTCTATTTAATTTATTTTATATATTTTTCTTGTATTATTATGGAAAGATACCAACATTAGATTTACTAACCTAACCCTTAATGAGTCCTTCATTGCATTGATTAACAACAACGGTAGGTTTGAGGGCTTTATTGAATTATTGAGGACTTTTGTCGAATTATTGGTGGCGAATGGTGAAGACAAGTTAAAATCAACAAAATGGAGCTCTATAGCACTTACATAACTTCTTTTGGATCATTAATCCCAACTATACCTTTTCTTTTGGACCCTCACCTCCACGCTTCTCTTCCTATTGCAACCTCATTCCTCCGCTACTCCCACCTCTGATAGCTTCATTCCAAGCCTCTACACCATCCATCGCCATTCCACAACCTTGGCAGCTCCTTTTCCACCTTATCCATTCCAACAACCCTAATTTCTCTATTTTGCAAAACCTTAGCTACAACCATTCTCACTACTACCCAACTATTTGGCCTTGTTTGGTTTGTGTTTCTCAAAAAATTTTGGAAAATTTTTTCTACAAATAAGTTTTCAAAAGTAATCAAACCAAACATATTTTTTCAAAAAAAATTTCCAAAACTTGTTTGGTTTACAAATTTTTCAAACAAATCTCTCTATCATACACATCAAATCAATCACTTTTTCCAAACTCTTTCTCAAAATAATTTTTCAAAACATCTTTTGAAAAAAATCAAACCAAACAAATTTTCGTACTTTTTATCTCAAAACATGTTTTTTAAATACAAACCAAACAGGGCCTTTATTTTCCAAAACACACCCTCTAAGAAACCTTAGTTATAAAACCTTTCCCTTTAGATCCTGTTGCCTCCCATCATTCTTCTTTTTCTTCATTGCAATCACTCTTTTTTTTCCTTCTTTCTTGTTCCTCTTCTCTCTCTCTCTCTCTCACAGGGTGAAAAGGACTGGAGTAGTGAGTAGATTAAGTAAATGATGTTGGCTAAAGTTGGTGGTGGAAAATAGAGACGGTTTAAGTAACGAAGAAAATAAAAAGATTAAGATAACAAACTAAGGTCTCGTTTAGAAACAAGTTATTTTAGTAATTTTTTAATTTTTTACCAAAAAAAATATGTAAAAAATAAAATAAATGATATGACAATTTATAGTGATTTTTTAACTTTTTAATTAAAATTGAAAGTTGACAAACAAGACTTAATTGTCTTTTTTATATAAAAGGGTAATTAAATAATTAGTATATATTTTTTGTTGACATTTTTAAAAGATAAACTCTATAAATTATTTAAACTACACCAAAATTCTGTAATTTAGACATACAATACAAAACCTAAAAATATTTATAATATTAATTATTATGGGTATTGGAAGCACATCACTCCCACACATAACATCCTACCAACAACGACATCAACTACAACTAGCAACAACGTTTCCTGCGGAGAAAGGTCGGCCTCTCTATCTCTCTCTCTCTCTCACTTTATTTCCCAAATTTTATTTTATTTTATTTTTTTCCTTCACTCTCTCTAACATTGTTTGTTTGTAGGATTCCATACCAATGTTCAAAGCAACAGTTCCTTTGTTGTCCAGAGCTGGATAGAGAGAGAGAGAGAGAGACAGACAAAGGCATATACCCTCAATTCACACAAATCCCAGACAACAAAATCTCAAAAAGAACTAAAAAATTAAAAATAAATAAAATAAAAACTAAGATCTGAGAGAGAAAGAGAGAGAGTCGCCGGAAATGCAGCCGCCGGTACGGCCTCCGTCGACATTCCGGCAGTAAACCCATCATCCAAAATGCGAGAAAGTGAAAACGAAACCATCATCGAAGACAACAAGAAGAAGCAGCTAGATGATGAAGAGAGTGATGAAGTCATTATACTAATCCCACCACCACCGTCTACGGCGGCTGGCCGCCCCCGATCACGGCGAGTCTCCCCAACAACCACCACCACCGGAGTGAACCAAGTAGAGAAAGCCCTACCCAACGGGGATCTCTACAGAGGCACATTCTGGGGCAAAGTCCCCCACGGCAAGGGCAAGTACCTGTGGTCCGACGGTTGCATGTACGAAGGCGAGTGGAAGCGAGGCAAAGCCAACGGCCATGGGCGCTTCTCCTGGCCCTCCGGCGCCACCTACGAGGGCCACTTCAAAGCCGGCCGAATGGACGGCATCGGCACCTTCTTCGGCTCCGACGGCGACTCCTACATCGGCTCCTGGTACTCCGATCGCAAACACGGCTTCGGCGAGAAACACTACGCTAATGGCGATGTCTATGTTGGTTCATGGAGGTCGAATTTGCAGGATGGTGATGGTAGGTATGTTTGGAGGAATGGGAATGAGTACATTGGGGAGTGGAGGAATGGGGTTATTTCGGGTAAGGGGGTTTTGATTTGGGCTAATGGGAATCGATATGAAGGGAATTGGGAAGATGGTGTTCCTAAAGGAAATGGGGTTTTTGCTTGGCCAGATGGGAGTTCTTATACTGGGATTTGGGGTGATAATTTGCATAATCGGCAGCCTGAGCAGCCGTGTTTCGTGTTGCCGCCGTCCAGGAAGAGATCGTCGGTGGACGGTGGGAGGGGTAGTTTGGCTGAGAGGAATGTCAATTTTCCCAGAATTTGTATATGGGAATCTGATGGTGAAGCTGGGGATATTACTTGTGATATTGTAGACAATGTGGAGGCTTCAATGTTTTATAGAGATGGGATTGGGGTTGGGAGTGAATCTCCTTGTGGAGGAGCTCCTGCTGGGCAGTTGAGGAAGAGTCCTTGTTGGTATGAAGGCTCTGATGTCAAGAAACAAGGGCAGATGATATCCAAGGGACATAAGAATTATGAATTGATGCTTAATCTCCAACTGGGTATCAGGTTGATTATTGGATTGGATTCTTTTGCTTTTGCTTTTTCATCTGTTGCATCTGTTGACGTTATTTGGGTATTGGGTTTTTGTTGGTTGGTTTTGTGTTTTGTGAGATTCTTATTGATTTGTAGATACTCTGTTGGGAAGCATGCGTCCATTACACGGGCACTTAAGCCAGCGGATTTTGATCCCAAGGAGAAGTTCTGGACTAGGTTTCCAACTGAAGGATCGAAATGCACGCCGCCACACCAGTCAGTGGACTTCAGATGGAAGGACTACTGTCCCATGGTGTTTAGGTATATACTTTATAAGAAATTCAACTGAGCATGTTGTAGGTTTTTTTCCCCGGATTTTGATTTGAAATTGATTTGGTTTAGTTATTTTTTGGATTGCCGAATTTTGGAAGATTGAACTCTCATTATTTCATCAACATCATTGTGATAATTGCATTGTTGGATATTTAGACATCTTAGGGAAATGTTTGCAATAGATCCTGCGGATTACATGCTGGCTATTTGCGGAAGCGATGCCCTTAGGGAACTGTCTTCCCCTGGCAAGAGTGGATGTTTGTTCTACCTAACACAAGATGATCGATTTATGATCAAAACTGTGAAGAAATCTGAAGTTAAGGTTAGTTGCCCATACCCCACATGTCATTTAACCAATATCTGAAATAGAGAGATGATAGAGCACTCAACTATAGAGATTGAGATTGGCTATTCTTAATTTAACAAAACATTTGAATCTGGGTTTATTAGATTGTCACCTTCGTTTTGTCATCCATGTTCAGGTGCTTATACGTATGCTTCCAAGTTACTACCAACATGTTTATCAGCACAAAAACTTCTTGGTGACAAAGTTCTTTGGCGTGCATTGTGTTAAACCGGTGGGAGGTCAAAAGGTATGATTTGAGAGATTGATACTCCACGTAGTTTCTAGACTCTACTTTTATGTTCAACAAGTGATTGATTGCCAATCTTTAATTTATCATGCATGGAAACTAGACCCGATTTGTTGTAATGAGCAATCTGCTCCACTCGGAGTACCGTATCCATAAACGGTTTGACCTGAAGGGATCATCATATGGCCGCACAATTGATAAACCTGAAGGGGAAATTGATGAGACTACCACACTCAAAGACTTAGATCTGAATTTCGTCTTTCACCTGCAACGGTCTTGGTTTGAAGAGCTTATCAGGTCAGTTTGATGCATTGCAAGTGAATTTCCTTCTTTCTAAATTGTTTAGATGAAACCTTCTCTCTCTATGACAACCACTCTGATTCCGTATTTCTTTTCAGACAAATTGATAGAGACTGCGAATTCTTGGAAGCAGAGGGAATCATGGACTACAGCCTTTTGATTGGTATTCACTTCCGCGATGACTACTCCAGTGATGGCACGGATGTGTCACCTTTCAATATGCATTCAGGTAATTAATTTTGTCTTCCAAATCCTTATATGGTTTTAGTGAAGTACTATGTAGAAATTGGTAAGAAATCACTCAGCATACCTTACTTGCTTTTATCAGATAAAAATGACACACATCAAGATGATAAGTTAAATCGAGGATGTGATTTTAAAGAAGAGCTGCAGGATAAGGATTGGATTCTAGATGGATGGTATGTGTTTCTCTTTCTCAACCAATTCATTCGGAAAAAATGTCTGCTATGACCAACTAAACCAAGCAATATTGTAGAATGACTTTCAGTCTCTTTTTTCCTTTTGTTCCCCAGAGAAAAGTTCTGGTTAACGGGGACTGACATCATAATGCACCTCTATGATATCTTCACATGAATTATTTATCACTAAGGGTTGAGCCATTATTGACATCACAAGCTGTCCCAAAAATATGGGGAATTAAAGGATTCTTGACTATTTGATTTTCTTATTTTATATGCTTGATTTTATGGGGGAAAGTTGTGGAGGATCCAACTCAGATTTACTACATGTGCACCACCATAATTTCATGGGTAGGTTTGTCCATTGTCGAATCCAAATATATTGAGTCTTATGATTTGTTCATGGTCTACAAAAAATCAAGCACAATATGTGTGGAGTCCTGTCTTCTATAATTTTTGTGTTTGAATATGGTTCTTGTTTGTTGGGAATGATAGAAGTGACTCGTGTCATCAAGGCATAACTTGCGATAGGTTCTTAGACAACTAAGGCAAGTGGGGTCGTCTTGTTTCCATATATCAACAAAAGTTAGTTTCATGACTTCTTTGGTTCAATTTCCATCGTTGATTGAGCCATCAAAGACGAGTTTTGTTTGTTGTTGACATCGTGGAGGGCTCTTTCCATTTGGTCAACATGAAATTTGATCTTTCGAATTCTAAGCTAAAATTTCTGAATTTGCTAGCTGACTCTTGGTCGGTCATTTGCTCAAAAATTATAGAAATAATATACATATACATATATATATATATATATGCATTAATTCAGGATAGGGATTAGTGATTCCTATGATTGATTTCAAATTCAATATTTTAGATGGAAAGGTGGTCATGTTTTGAGGGTGTTAGGTGTGGTCATATTATTGGTATTTGGATATTACTCCAAATTTGTTATGAATGTATGTGTATTCATGTACTAAATTCCAAATCTTTTCATTAATATTCAGGAAGCCATTTATCCGGTTAGGTGCAAATATGCCGGCAAGGGCTGTCCGCGTGTCGAGGATGGAATTTGATCATTACACAGGCAGTGGAAGTAGCAGTTCAACCCCTTCACCGGGCGGTGGCGGTGGTGAGATCTGTGATGTAGTCCTGTACTTTGGTATCATTGACATCCTCCAAGATTATGATATCACCAAAAAACTAGAACATGCATACAAGTCCTTGCAAGTGGACCCCACCTCCATTTCGGCCGTTGATCCAAAGCTCTATTCAAAAAGATTCAGAGATTTCATAAACAGAATCTTCGTCGAAGACCATCAATAATGGGGGAAAAAAAGTAGAACAACATCAAGCTGAATCGATTGTCATTAAATTTTGGGTTATTCCCCAAAGAACAGGATGGTGGGATTGTCAATCTCCGGGAGGCCATGAAAGCCAGCAACTACACAGCCAAGCGTCTTGTTGGCTTTTCATAGGAATTGGGGTTTTTTGTGGCTGAATTTTTGAGATCAGCCATGATGATGGAGAGAGAGTGCGACTTCTGTAATTTTTTTAATTTTTTTTTTCTAATATATTGTTTTGTGGGGGAATGAACAGCTGAATATAGGAAACATAGAAATGCTTCCCTTTGGAGGGAAAAGAATAATGTGTACAGTTAAGAGAAAGATGGGTAATGAACTGAAAAGAATTTTTTTGATGGATTTTTTTTTTTTTTTTTTGGGGGGGGGATAAAGAAATTTGAAAAGAAAATGGTCCCTACCTGTGCAAGAAAGAAAAGAACATCTCAAGAGTCTGAATCTGAATTCTGTATGTGTGTGTGTGTCTGTGTTGCAGAATTGTTTTGTTGTTTTTTGGTCTGGGCTCTTTAGCGCATTCAAATTGGGTCTTTAGCTTTATTTTTTTGTTTGGCAGCATGGAAAGCATGAAAAGAAGAGAAAGCACAAGAGGAGAGATGTGGAAGGGTGTTTCCTTGTATTCTCTCTCTTTCTTTCTTCTGTTGAAGTTTGGAAAGTTGGGGCTGTAATTATTGAATTTAAGCTCTCTTTTTTTTGCTTCTTTTGGACCATACCAAAGCAGTGACTGTACGGTAAAGGAGAAAAAAAAAAGTAAATCAAGAATTTAATATTGTTTTTTATTTTTTTAACCATAGGTAAAAGGGTGAGTAAGGGAAGTCCACCTCACACAGTAGGTAAAACTCAAACCCAATGAATCTACTCTTGTTCTTAATATATATATTTTTTTTTTCTTAATATATAATATGGAGTTTGAGTTGAAACTCAAACTCAAACCCAATTTTTTTTTGTTTGAGTTGTACAATCATATTTCTCATGTATATGTTTTGAACCAATCTTTTCAAACTCCATATTATTTTGTGAGATCGTATTTTCAAAGCACAATTCCAATTCCAATTTCAATTTCAATTTCAACTTAATTTTTTTTTGTTAAACTTCTTGAAATCATATCATCCACTTTTATGTTGTGAAATTGTATTTACATGATTTCACAAAACATGGGTTTAAGAAATACATTTAAAACTGAGAGGGTAATTTTTGGTAAAAATTGGGCCAAGTTATGTGATAGGCTTCGTGGCCCAAAGTGCCAAGGACTTGGTGAAAAGGCCGCAAGGTTACTCCGGCCCGGGAGAGGTATGGTTGCTCCGGCCCAGGAGAGACAGGGTTACTCCGGCCGAGGAGAGGCAAAGCTACTCCGGCATAAGAGGGACAAAGTTACTTCGGCACAGTGACTGTAGAGGTACTTCGGTCCGAAAGCAACTTGGAGTTGTGCCGGTCTTGGGGTTATACCGGTCGAAAGTCGCTGGTTCGGTCTAAAACCGTACTATGGGTTCTATATGGAAAGCCGAGATAAGAAAGGGAAGACAGAAGAACCGAACTATGAATGAGTTCGGTCCACTCGGTGGCTTAGTATAGCCAAGTTTTATTTCGGTCAAATGGTGGTTCGGCCATGGAGGAAACCATCCCACTTGGTTTAAGCAGTGGGGGAGGGTGTAAAAGGATAAGCATTATCCTTAAGAGTATGAATCCTAGGAGGACACTGCATGGAGAAATACAAGTCCTACTAGGATTGTGCCACGGGAAACTTATAAAAGCCCACAAACATCACCTTGGGGAGGTAATTGAACACAATTCTTTCTGAGAGCATAAAACTTTGTCTATTTGTCAAGCTTACTGACTTAGGCATCGGAGAGGTTTCCGGCACACCCCCGCCGGCTAGCTCATGTTTGTGTTTTCAGGTGATAAAGCGACGTCGTACGGAGGAGCGTGGACTTGGTCAACAGGATTATACGAGGAGAATTATTTCCTCCCCGTACAAAAACAACTATACATTTTTTTATATAATTAAAAAAAAAACCTTAAAATTTCTTACTACATTTATTTTTATTTTTATTTTTGTTTGTGTTTTTATTCTAATTTATTATATATAACTTTTTTCAAAGAACAAATTTTAGACTGCCAGATTTTTCTAGTTTTGAAAGATGTTTAATGTCCAATCCATGCCTTCGGCCCAAATTTGCCCCATCTTAGTCCATTATCTATTCATATTAGGTAGCAGGCCCAAATTTTGACCCACAAAAGCAAAGTATTAAAGTGGTCAAATGTGGACTTTAACCGTTTGGATTGAGGCCTCGTTTATCAACTATACATTTTAGTTAAAAAGTCAAAAAATTACTATAAGTTATCATATCACTCTCTCTATTTTTATGCATATCTTTTCGTAAAAAGTCAAAAAATTACTAAAATAACATGTTCCTAAACAACGCTTGAGATATAAGAATTTTGAAATTACCGGTGTACTAAGTGAGGGGAAAAAAATTATTGTAGTTTTTTCATCTTTTTGTTTAGATAGACTATGATAAAAGGAGTAATTTTATTTTCTCATCAAACTAGCAGTGTACTCGTGTTACACATGCTTTAAACAAATAATTAAAAATTAATTTTGCAATTAAATAATAACATAAAATTTGTTTGACATGCATAGGAAAAATAATTTAGAATTAATTAAATTTTAACCATTTTTGTTGGAGGTTTTTTTGTTTATTTATGTATGTTCTAAGTTTTTAAGGGTTGTTTGGGATGATCTAAATAAGTGTACTTTTTGACTTTTTATGAAATATAGATTGGATTTGGGTTAGGTTTGAAGTGATATATTAGAGAGGTGATGTGACTTAAATAAGGTGATGTGACTTAAATAAGATAGTGACTTTTTGACTTTTTTACAACTTGTCAAACCAGCCCTTAATAAAAAATAAATGTCATAGTTTAATTGATAGAAATAAAAAAATAAATGACTTGCAAAAAATAGAAATACATTATGTTCTATAAGTTTTTCAATTATAATTTATCCTATGTCAAAATTCGCCCAATAATATATTAAATCATATTGCATGGGGTATAGTTTTCCTACTTTCATGTAAAAATGGACAATGGTTGGATTTTGGAATTAAAGTTGAGCTAGACATGATATAAAATCCAGTCAAATCAGCCGTTACACCAATTTAGCTCTAACCTAATCATTAAAGCATTATTTTAGAGGGTGTTTGAGATTCAGCATTTAAAACTAAATATATTAAGTGATTATCAATTAAACTCATTTGATAATCATAATTAATATTATTTAAAAATTTAAATATTTTATAAAATGCAAACTAAAACTTAAGAAAATATAAATTTATATGAAACTTAGATCTCGTTTGTCAACTATATATTTTAGCCAAAAAGTCAAAAAGTTGCTATAAATTATTATATTACTCTTTTTATTTTTCTGCACATTTTTTCGTAACAAATTAAAAAGTTACTAAAATAGTCTGTTCCCAAACGAGACCTTAGTTCTGATTGAATATGTTTATACTAAATATAAGTATGGATATACGCTATTATAAACTCATTGTCACCGTCATGCTACCGATACCACCACCATCACCATGTCACCGCCAACATTACCACCATCATCACCATCATGCAGCTACTAATACCACTACCGTCACTGCCACAATTACCACCACGTTCATCACCATTGTCATTGTTGTCATAAGCACCATCATCGTTTTACTACCACTACTATTACTATCACCACTATCATTACCACCGTTGTCGCCACCGTCACTATCACTGTTGCTGTTGCCACTACCACCACCATCAACAATACCATATCACCGTTGCCGCTACCACCACCACCACCACCACCACCATGTTGCAAATCACCACCACCATTAATGCTATCACTACCATCACTACGACCACCATCAACGCTACCACCATCACCACCACCACCATGCCATTGTCATTGCCACTGCACGACCACCGCTATCGCTGCCGCTGCCACTGCCACTACCACCATCATACCATCACCGCCACACCATATGTGTAATTGTACCACCACCACCATCTCACCACCAACGCCACTGCTACCGTCACCATCACCGTCACCGTCACTGCCACCACCATCATATCATTTGTGTAATTATATATATTTTAATACCACCGTTATTGACGGGTTGTTAAGAAATTTATGTTGCGCTAAAAATATTATATGAAGACCAAATATTTGAAGGCTCCTAATTTAAAAATAAAAAAATCAAAGATACTAAAATATTAATATAATTTTGCAATATAAATTCCCTACCGTTTAAAAATATTTAGGAGTTAATTTAAGATATAAATTTAAAAGGTTAGAGTATCTATATATGATCATAAAACTGACTATTTGAACATTTGAAAAAGATAATTTAGGAACAAAAATTAGTTATATTAATGATATTAAAAAAATTTAATCAACCAATCATTTTAAAACATGTCTTTTTTTCTTTTTTTTTTTACAATAAGTCAAAAATTTTGAAAATCCATATCGAGCATGTGAAACTCTCATATCCATTCTCATTAGAAACTTTATCTTACTTAATATATAGTATAAATCTCACAATTTTTTTTGTGAGAAACAAAATTTAAAAGTTTGGTATGATTTGCCATTTTCACAATTTCTCATATTTATTTAACTTATTAATCATCCAAACAAGCGATGACAGACTCATTCTCCCCGTTTTTTTTTCTTTTTGCACCAAACTCCTTAATCCAAGCGGTTAATGAATCATGGGAAAGCTAGTTTGACTTTGTCATTGAGGCATGGGTGTTTGATAACCAATTAAGCCCATTTAATAATCATAGTTGATATCATCTAAAATTTTAATTACTTTTTAAAATATAGATTAAAATAAAAAAAAAAAATTAAATCATATAAAATTTATTTAATTCTGACTTAATTTATAAATATTAAACATAAATATCGATATATTATTATTATAAACTTACTATCACCACCACCACCACAACCACAACTATCTTGTCACTGCCGCCACTACCACCATGCTACTGCCACCGCTATTGCCACCACAACCACCACCATCATGTTATCACCACTGCTACCACTATCACTACTGTCACTACCACCACCACCACCACCATGCCACTGCTACAACTATCACCGCTGCCACCAACCATTGTGTCGTCGCCACCACCACTGCTATCACCTTCATCACCATTTTTATTATTGTCATGAATATTATCATTATTTTATTACTACTATCATCACTACCACCACCACGACGCCACCGCCACCACTGCTACCGCCGCCGCCGCCACCACCACCACCACTACTATCACAATATAAAAATTAAAACATATAATTTAAAAATAATAAATTTTAAATTTTATCTTACATATATCAAATAATTTATTTTTAATTCAACATTTAAATTTTATTAAATAATTTTTTAACTTAAAAAATTTAATATTTAATTTTTGATTTTATCAAATACCACAGCAGTGGGCACTTATTATTTTTTACTTCTAACAAGAAAAAATTATGATATTGGATTAAGAATTTCAGTGTGAGCATGTGCCAGTCAAATAGCACGTGGTCAAATGGAAAACTTTTTAATATGTTCACATGGCTATGTATATTTTTAATATGATCATATGCCTATGTATATGGCACCATTGAAGAAGTTGAATATTTTAATAAGTAATTTTAGTAGGTTGAAA